CAATAATAAACAATGCGTGAAACGACAAGTACAGTCGGGCGACCGGGGGCATTTCGCGAGATGCTATCGTGTCCGGGACTCAGCCCCCCGGTAGCGGAGCGCAATCAATCATTCGAACCGGATAAAATATAAAATACGGTACCGAGGCAGGCCGCGATGTGTGTTTGCCGTTTTATTTATTTGCACGGTCATGCAAGCTACGCGGAATTAACGTATTTTTTGCACGCGACCTCCTCGCCGGGATGACGGCGGGTCGATGGCGAGCGCCGACCTAAGCTTTCGTTATCGCCGCCGCATTAAACCGGCCCCGCGCGCGCGGGCAATGAATATAATCATTTTCTTTTTAATCCCCTCCCGCCCGCTCGTGACGCGACGACGTTCCCGAAAGGAGGGATCGAGAAGACCCCGGGAGATCCGCGCGGGTCTTTAGGGACGATAACGGGAAGATCATAGGAAGGTCGGGCGCGGCGTCTCGAACGGGAGAGACGAGCAACGTTGGCGATTCGCATCGCGCGTGATGGATGGTACTCGCGGTATCTTGTATCGCGGGTATATCGCCGTCGCCACCGCTCTTGCTTATTAAACTGTTCGGTATTTCTCCGTGGACGGGCAACAACACACCGGGGGCAGCGTCGCGCGCCCAATGCGAGAAGAAAGACGCGGAGGAGAACAAGATCGATGCGCCTCGTCGCGCACCTCGGGACCGGGACTTTTAATAAGCGTCATCTCCGCTACCGTGTGGTAGTCGACAATCGCCTCGTTATAAATCGCTACCGTTTCGCCCTTCAAAAGAGCGCGCGCCCGAAAAATTATCTGATTCGTTTAAGCGGACGACCGGGCCTACTCGATCTTTCGATTTTCCAATCCTTCGTCGCGGAAGCCGGAATCTCGATGGGACACGTTTCTCGTCCGCGTATTAATTTCGTGCCCCATCTCTGCTGGTCCTTTTCTCTCCCGTCCACTGTGCGAGCTGCGTCGGATGAGAGAGAGAGAGAGAGAGAGAAAAAAAGAGCCGAGCGTCCGCGAGTATCTCCGCGATAAAATTGTCATGATCGCTCGATAATTCAAAGTATTTTCGTATTTGTGTGTGGCAGGTGGTAGCGATTATTACGCTCGGCTATGGGCAGCAAAATATCCCCGGGAGAAGCGCCTTCGATCTCACAGCTCTCCGCGGACACGCGGTACGAAACGGATGATTGCGCGCCGCGAACGCAACAGATCGCTACGTTATTATTTTCGCCAGTTATCGAATTAGATGTTGGCTTAACGGGTACGTATAGCGTAGTCCCCACATACCCGTAGCCTCATAGGCGTACCATACAACGCGGCTCGCCGTCAACTTCTAACTCGATCGTGCATCTCTCTTTCTCTCGCGAATGAACAAAAATTTAAAAAAACATGCTCGGATATTTTGACCGTCCAAGACAAGAGTTTCGACCGCGTTGAAAACGGCAATCTCGTTCGCGAGGCGATGTCAAATACATAGAGGACAGTCCCCTATTATGAGATAGGTTTCTAATTCGAGATAGCAGGTTTTCAACGCCAAAATTCCATCACGAATCCTTTTTCGCGACGATTACGCGATCTGACAATGAATTTTCCGCTAAACAGTTTTCACTCCAAGGGCAATAATTCATGGTGGAGTCAACTGACGATGCCTAGTAATTTAACAGAAATCCCGCCGTCCCATATTAGGATCCTGTCTCATAATACGGGACTTTCCTCCGATAATCGACACCCTGTTAGTTACTTCGATGTGCTTTGACGTAAAAGAAGTTTAAAAATGACGTAAATCACACGGACGCGTCGTGAGTGCACGCCTGAAATATACTCAAACTATCTCGAAACGCGGGCGAACGATCGCGAAATCCGCGGTTGATCTCGGCGACGCCCCTTCCCTCGCTCGACGTGAAATACGAAGGTAAAGAAAAATCGCTCGAAACTGGACGATCGTCTTTTGAACGTTCAAATGATATATTATACAAGGAATCGAGTGAGACAAACGCGTCGTCTCTGGGGACGACCGAAAGTGATCAAGTGTCTCGTCGGTGGCGAGGCGAAATGAAGAGCGGGCGGGTGAGGGCAAAACGCTCCCTCCGCCGGGAGGAAAAGCGGCGGCACAGCCGAGTCCGGTTTCTAATGATCGTCGTCATGTCGATCGTGCTTTATGTCGCCCCTTTTGCATAAACGCGCTCAATTTGCTCGGACGAGGCGGTAAATTATGCCGATTCAGGAACGTAGCGAAGATGACGCCCATGGGCTCTCTCTCTCCCTCTCTCTGGCGCGCGCGCTCTCGCTCTCTCTGAATTTCCCCTCTCCCCTAACGTTTCAGCCCTCCGTCCTGGTTTCTCTCCTCCTTCGCCTTGCCACGAAGAGGAGGCATCCCCCGAGATTACGGCTCCACTCGTTACTACCTACAACGTACTTACGTTACTTTTAGAACTGCTTATTACTGTGATTACCGGCGCATAATGCGGCGACCGAGCCGTTCTACAATTTATTATTGAATTGCTATAATACGGACCGGCCGGCATTGCCCGGCATCGTGCTGACATCGTTATATACACGTTGTTGTGGAAAACGCGTAACCGCGAATCGAGTTTCCCTACGCGTCAACAATCCACGACGGCGACTCTATTCACCGCCATCCGGCGTTATTCGTGATATTTTTGCGTTCTTAAATGGAATTCGCCAGCGATTTCGAAGACCCGACCCTTTAACGTTAAAAACGTACAGTTGTAGTTAGTTGTTAGATTACAATTGGTCAGTTGACGTTTCCTTGAAATCGAAGGGATAGAGTTTAGCTACTTGTAAAACTTGACTCGCAAAACTTTATTCTTCATATCGAGTGTAATTCCAAAAATATTTTAACACTGGCTTCAAATTTATAGAACAATAACATCAAATTTGGTTGACCGTATCTGACAATTTTTATGTTTAGGATTCGAGCTACGTTTCGACCATTTAGTTTGTGACTATAAAGACTATTCTACATCACCAAAATACACGCGAATCCATGTACATGACTTTCTCAGGTAATATCTCTAACAATTCTAATTTGTTTAACTGTTGACTCGATATCTCTTAAATCTCTCACTTTGTATAGTCAGATCGCTTGAAAAGGACCAAAACCCATGGTCGAAACGTAGCGAGTTCTGAACATAAAAATTGCCAGATACGGTCAACCAAATTTGATGTTGTTAATTATTGCTGGCGACTCTGAAGATTATTCTTGATAGTTTATAGAATAATGTGTCATTTAAAGTTAACGCTGACAATGAAACCGCATGCTAAACATTTTATACAGCATATTATATCGACATTTGAAGAAGTTCACTTTGCAAATGCGCGAGCAAAGAAGCCCAGGCGAAGCACGTGGCATATTCCCTTTCTGAAACGTAATTTTCCACTTGGATATTTCATTCTTCACGTCTTATATGCGCGAATTTGTCTCGTGCACTTCTAATTTTCGGTCAATTAAGCTTCCAAATAAAATCCGCCCGTCTACGTGCTCGGTGTGTACCCTCAGTTTTTTTTTCAGTTGTGTGGAAAAGAATTTTAATGTAATATTTTCTAAAAGATTTAATTTAGCGAAACGTTCTTCACCCCGTGTATATAACCGACAGAATGTACCGAGGGATTTTTCCTCTTCCGACGACATGAAATGCGGAAGAGGATGCCTAAGGCGTGGACTCGGGTGAACCGTACACGTGTATACACGCGCACGCACACGTGTATACACAGACGTTTGAACGCACCGGACAAAATGACCGGTCTGCCTGTCTATCCGCCTATTTCGATGCTATTCATTGTTACTTTCATGCGTGATTGGCCGCACTCAGGTGGTTACACAAAATAACACATCCAAATCGAACACCGTAAGTCGCGCACGGGGGAGGAGAGGGGAGGGGGCAGGCTGATTTCTCAAGTCGCGCTGTATTTTCTCGCAAAGTGCACGTTGCAATACACACAAGAACGGTCGTTTCCAGCGACGCAAAAATCCGTGAGAAATACGAGACATTTAAAGAATGTTTACAAGATTAGTGATTTCACTAAACTATCTCAAACGGGAATAGGTGTGATTTCTTGATTCAGACTTTCGTGGATAAAAGGAGAAGCGAATAAGTTAAACAGCAACGTGATAACATAGTGTGTGACAAGCGAATCTAAATTTTTTTTTTAGCATTTTCACTATATTGTAAGATACAGAATTGACCCCCTGAACTGCAGCCAGTTCAGCTAAAAAGAACAAATCTTATGCAAACAGAGGGTCAAGGCTTGTTTAGGCTGGTATTACATTCGTCGCACGACAAAATTTTTTAATGTATTCATTGGCTGCAGAATCGAAAATTTCGCGAGACTCGACAACTTTTCTATTCTGCAGTCAACGTGCTTGAAAGATTTGTCGTACGACACATGTAATATTACCAATTACAGCCAATTATTCTCTTCACTTTTAACGATGATTGGACAATTTTTACTGATTCCGGCATAAGTTAACAGTTACGGCCTTGCATAAACCAGCCTTAACTGGTTAATTTTTACCGATTCCGGCAAAAGTTAACCGTTACGGCCTTGCATAAACCAGTCTTCAGTTCTGTATATTAAAGTAGAGTGAAAATACTTCAAATGAGCGACTTCGTCTCTTCATAAAGACCTGTGTCCACGATGCTAGAACTTGGTCCAGGGTATTTATAGTCAGATCTTACGTTCAAGACCGACTTAAGATCATCTTTAGATACTCTGTAGCCAATGAAATGTTCCACACAGCATCTTTAGATAAATTCAAGAGGGTCTCGAATATAAGATCTGACTATGAATACCGGCCCTAGAGTCGAGAAATGGGTAGCTTTTATGGAATAGCTGCAAGTGATTGGCTACACATTTCTCGACTCTGACCATCCGATTGGCTCTCGACTTTCAGATCCAACCAATGACATCCAACTGTTAGCGTGTGGTTGCGACACTGCCTGCACCTAGCGACACGTGGTACCGTAACCTCCAATTGAGCGCGTGTTGTTGTTGTCGTCAAACGCACTACTCGAGGCGAAGGAGTCGCGAAAGACTCTCCGATTCAACGATCAACCGAGAGGTAGAGCTTTAAGCGGCAAAAATGTTGCGAAGGCAAGCAAGGCTGCGTCGCGAGTACCTTTACCGAAAATCCGTGCAGGACAAGGTGAAGGGTATCCAAGAGAAGAAGGACCAGCTGAAGCGCAGCCTGGAGGAAAACGTGCCGATCCACCCGGATCTGAGGAAGAGCGCGTTGCACGTGCAGAGGAAGATCGAGTGGGAGGATGCCGGGCCGGAGATGGCGGTGGCCAGGGGCACGGAGATGGGCGGCACCGTGGCCAGCCACGAGGACGACGAGTACCGCTGGGCCGGCGTCGAGGACCCGAAGATCGTCATCACGACGTCCCGCGACCCGAGCTCGCGGCTCAAGATGTTCGTCAAGGAGCTGCGCCTGATATTCCCCAACTCGCAGCGGATGAACCGCGGCAACTACGAGATGAAGCAGCTGATCCACGCCTGCCGCGCCAACGACGTCACGGACTTCGTCATCGTGCACGAGCACCGCGGCGTACCCGACGCCCTGGTCGTCTGCCACCTGCCGTACGGCCCGACGGCCTACTTCACCCTGTCCGGTGTCGTAATGCGCCACGATATACCCGACATTGGCACGATGTCGGAGCAGTATCCCCATCTGATCTTTCATAATTTCAAGACGAGATTAGGGGAGAGAGTGATGAAGATACTCAAGTACCTGTTCCCCGTGCCGAAGGAGGACAGCAAGAGGGTGATCAGCTTCGCCAATCACGACGACTACATATGCTTCCGGCATCACACCTACAAGAAGACCCAGGGAAAGAACGTCGAGCTGACGGAGGTTGGACCGCGCTTTCAGATGAAGTTGTACGAGATCAAATTGGGGACCCTGGACGCCGAATCGGCCGCTGACGTGGAGTGGGCCTTGAGGCCTTACATGAACACGAGTCATAAAAGGAGATTTTTGTCCGACGAAGATGGTTGGCAACAGGAGGACAACGTTTAATTTAATTCCGCTATATACACCTGTATATATTCGTCAGTTAATTTTGATAAATTTTGTTAAAGCCGCACTGGTATCTCTAACTTAATACATTTCTGTCTGTACGTTTAACATCATATATATGTATGTAAATATGCGTGTAACGAGTGTTCTTTGAGAGCAAAGAAATAATAGGTCATATATAAAATCGTAGATAATTAAAATTCACAATGATATAAAATGCATGTATAAAGAATACACATTAGTAGCAATCACTATGGTTTTCTTTCTGTATATGTGAGAAAGCTAGTAAAAGTGCCTTTTCAAATTGTAAGAGTAACATATGCAAGTTTTAAAAGGATAATGTACAGGAAAGTTCTCTATTTTATGAGATAGGATCCTAGTATGGAATAGCGGGGTTTCTGTTAAATTAATTGGCGTCATCAGTTGGTTCAATCGTGAATTTACTGTCCTTTGAGTGAAATCTGCTTGGTGAAAAATTGATTGTCCGTGTGATCGTTGTGAAGAAAAGATTTGTGATTGAATTAAAAACCTATCTTATAATAGAGGACTTTCCTCCATATGTCGTGATACATGTGGTTTGCTTTTTGTACGTGCAAGAAAACTAGCAAAGTTGCTTTTGAACTTTCAAGCTCTAAAGGCCAATGTCCACGATGCTAGAACTTGGACACAGTTCTTGGATCGTGGACACAAGGCTTGAGAATAGTATACGCCAATCTTGAAAGTATAATGTATATATTATAATGTGTATTGCTCTCTCTCTCTCTCTCTCTCTCTCCATATACGCATGCAAGAAAACTGATAGAATTGTTTTAAAATGTTTAAGTTCTAAACTAATGTATGTTAATTTTGAAAATACAATGTATAAAATATAAAATACCATATATATTGTAATATGTATGGTATTTTATAAATATTATACTCGTTTATACAGTAAGAATTTTATCGCGTCTCATGAACAATCGTTGATTAACCACAATTGACATCCCACTTCGTTGTCGCAGATATTCAATTTACGTTGATTATTTCGCATACCAAGTTTTATTTTACGCTATCCGATATCGTGATGCGATACGGTATACAGTCGTGGTCAGAAAGGTTGTCCGACGTTGCACGATAAATTTCGGGAATACAGTCTATCATGCAAGAGAATGTAGCTTTTGCTCACGGAAGTGTGCAGTGACAACATTATCAGAGCAAAAGAATGACACGAACGAATATGTACGCGATGATACATAAGCCCGTATCAGACTACGGGTTGAGATTAGATTGAAATTTGGCCAATTGGAGTAAAAGTCACTAAACTCGAGATCAGTAGACGTTACTCCGATTGGCTAGATTTCAATCTAGGCTGCTTTCGCGAGACCAAAATGATCCAGATTAAAATGACCTTGCGCTACGATTGGTCAAATCTGGAATTCCATTGAATGAAATTTCAAATTTGACCAATCATAGCACAAGATCATTTTAATAATCAGGGGCTCGATTCTTGAATTTATTCGAAGGAGAAACGTATGCGAAAATTCTGCTCTTACAGAAAAGTTGCAAGTTGATTGGCTACTCGCATGGCTTTAACCAATAGACTTTCAACTTTTCTGTCACAGCAGAGTTTTCGTATACGTTTCTTCTTCGAATAAATTCAAGAATCGGGCTCCTGGATCATTTTCATCTTCTCTCGAAAGCAGCTCCAATTTGAATCTCATCCGCTCTATGGATATTCTGAAAACTGTAAAATGTTGGACAGCCTTTCTGACCATGGCCGTACACCTGACACCGTCACAATGTCGGAGCAGCATCCCCATCTCATCTCTCGTAGTTTCAAGGCGAAATTAAAGAAGAGTGAGGAACGTATCTGAAGTAACATCAAGAATTCGACGCCAATAAATGACTAACAATGATTGAGCTTCTCATCGACTATGGCGATGTGTTTTTAACACAGAAAATTTATTGCCAAAGTATTACCTCAGCCAGGGTCCGAACCTGGACTTTCCAGATTCAAAGGTCCTGGAAAGTCCAGGTTGAAACCCTGGCTGAGCTAATATTTTCGCAATACATTTTCTGCGTTAGAAACACATCGCCAGTCACGGTCGACTAGAAGCTCAATCATACTGAAGTACCTTTCCTAGTTTCCCAAAGGAGGATAGCAAGAGAGATTCGCTAATCGCGAGGGCATGTCCCGGCGAGAAATGACTCGTCAATCGACGTCGATTCGACCTTAATTTGACGGTGTCGATTCGACGTCGTTTCGACTAATCATTTCCCGCTGGAGTTTCCGGCATCACACGTACAAAAAGACCACATCTGGGGAAAGGATGTCGAATTAGATTCTACTGCGTGTATGAAAGGATAAATATGTCGCTCATATTACACGAATACATCATTAAAATACAAATCTTACCCCAAGTTGACGTATCGTCAGCCAATTATAAAAATTTGCGAACAACTCGCAAACTGGAGAAGTACGAAAATATTGTCACGTACCTTCCAGCAACAGCCGCTTCGCACCGATACGACGCTAAAGTTCTCGATCTCTTCTTCTCTCAGGTTTTCCCTCCCGATGCTCGAGAATGTTCATATTCCGCGATGCGCAAGGAGAAATTTCGTACCGTGAGCCACTGGAACGTTACAAAAACGAGCAATTAGCGCGGAAAGTGAGTCCCTCTACTCGACGTACTTTTTTTTGCAAATGGCGGCGAAACCGCAGTTACCCGCAGATTACGGAAATGCGCGACTTGCGAGATCGACAATCATTTCGTTACGTACCGAGCAACAACCGCGCGGCGAACGAAAGCCTCGATCCGGTCAATTTCCCCGCTTACGGAGACAGATTTCGCTCTTTCTCCCTCTTTCTCTCCTTCTTCCTCCGATTACCGCGACGCGCGGGAAAAGCTTCGTATCGCGGGCGCCGAAGGAAACATGGCGGACCGGCGTCTCGCTGAAATTCGGCAACGCGGCTCGACTTTGCCGAAAAATGATGTTCCGCCGAACGAAAGCCAAGTCAATACGGAAACGTAATAACGAGAACGGGGGGAATTTGCTGTTAAATAGGCACCGGGCAACGGCGGAGTGATCGCGCGCCCTACTCCGGCGTGAAACATTCGTCGCGATATTCTCGGTAATATTCGTTTATTACCGAGAGACCTTTTCTTCCGAAAGTCGCGCTTACCTCACGACTGGCCCGCGTCGGGCTTTGAACGACCTGCCGTTTGACGTAAAATTAAATAATAGGCTTCGTTCTTTCCGATGCGTAGCGAAGCTCTTGCTCTCTCGAAGAAGACGGACAGAGTGAGACAGACAAACGGCTTCCCATTTCTGTCTGTCTCCCGTGTCCTGATTGGCCAACGGCTGTATTTCACTGCGAATTGGGAGCTCGGTTAGGATTGACCAATCAGCCAGCCCGGACAAAGCAGCTTGTCGGCTGATTGGTCGAGCCCGTCAAGCCCAGCCAATCCCAACTGTAATAACCGAAACCACGACCTGGGGCTCGATTCTTGAATTTATTCGTAGGAGAAACGTACGCGAAAATTCTGCTCTTAAGCGTCGTCTACAATAACCGGCGTAAGCGTGGAGTAAGAAGAAGTAAGAAAACCTAACCTTTACCTTTCAGTGTAAAAGCTAAAGAATAGACATAATTTTTTTAAATATTTGTAACACTGGTCGAACTACGCTTTAATTCGCCGCGAGTAAGCGTCAGAGCTGAAGTAGGAGTAGGAAATGGAAATGATCCATTTCTTTACTCCTACTCTTACTTCTTACGCCAAGCTTACTCCACCTATTGTAGACGACGCTTTACAGAAAAGTTGCAAGTTGATTGGCTATTCGCATGGCTTTAACCAATCGACTTTCATCTTTTCTGTCAGAGCAGAATATTCGTATACGTTTCTTCTTCGAATGATTTCGAGAATCGGGCTCCTGTAGTGAAACAGGAGCTTCGTACAATGAGAAATGGTAATCGTGAGATTGAAAATTGATCAGATTCACTAAAAAGAGACAGAATGGGAATCATTGACCGCTTTTTCGGCAGAAAAAGCTGCCTTAAAACTGTTGTAAAGTGTGTAAATTTGATTAAAGTATGTCCTTAAGTCCACGATGCTAGAACTCGGACCAAGTTCTAGTTCCGAGAAATGTGTAGCCAATCAACTTGCAGCTTTTATGGAATAGCTGCAACTACAAGATATACATTTGATCTGTATAGCATCCACGCGGATCTCATTTCTCGGCTAGATACTTTGTGAACGTATATTTAAGACAAAGTTAACGAAAAATTGCCAATAAACAGGCCTCAGTGCCTGCACCAAGTGCAGGCGATCGAGGATTCGCTATTAAATTGCCGTCGCGCGCGAAACGTGCCGTTTGAATTTGGCGCCAACGAACGCGCCACGAAGCGTCGCCGTGCCCTCAAAACCGGCGGTCGCGCCGATCGCGCGGCGCATGCGCGCACAAGCGTGGCGGAGGACGCGACGCTATGGATGTGTACGGATCGTCGAAAGCACGCGCTCAGAAGGGCGACGGTGAGCATCGTGATTTTTCGTCATGCTGTTGCGGCTGCATCGGATAGACTGTTTGCTTGCTCGCTGGTATCGCTTGCGGTGAATCGCATGATCTGCGCGCGTCCGTGGGACAAGCCCCCCCGGGGGATTTTTCCACCCGTAATCGTACTCGTCTGGCGTTTTGGCGTTATGTATGGGGACGCCAGCGCGTCGGCGTGCGTGGCGGATGATCGTCGTACTAACTGCGCGCCGTACACACAAACGCCGCTGTCGTTCGGTAAACGGAGATTTCACGCGAGTCGCCTTCGCCGCATCTGCGAGACGCTGTATCATCGCTCCATTTTTTACATACCGCTTAAAAACGTTTCTCGCAACTCACTCTTGCGTGTAAACTAACCTAACTTACGGATCTGTCAGAGTAAACATTTGGAATCGGGGGGGGGGGACGTAACATCCATCGTCGAGAGCTTCATTCACCTTGAATTACGCTCGTGTCTTATTCGTCATATCATCTCATCTGCCTGTAAAGTGTTTAATCGAATAATTGTTTTTCTTATTAAAAAAAACAAACAAAAACGAAACGTAATGCAGACTTCTCAGAGAAACGAGGCGAAGCGAAGTGAAGTGCGAGTTGTACTGCGACTGGCTGTCCACATCTTTAGTAGCTGATACGTTGTAGCCTGCATAGAAGTAGTATTTCTATACTGTGCCTATCCTGAATACTCTATAAATGTTTAAGCCTGGTAGTTAGCTATTGCAAAGTACATTGGACCCTTTCTTTTTTTTGGCAAGGTGCAGTCTGCTTTATCTTTCAGATCTAGAGGTCACGGGTATCTCCCGTAGTGGCCGCGTGAGGAAGAAGTCCTCCAAGCTCGTCGACTTCGAATCCGACGATCTCACGGAAAATAAGCTCAAGCGACAGAAGGCGCAGCAGCAGCTGCAGACCCAGCAGCTCTTGGATCAGTATGAGGTCCAGCAGCAGCAGATATCGCCCGCGCAGTCCAATCAAGCGGCTAGCGTTGGGCAGCCGAGAAAGAATTTGGGCTCTAATCATGCGCAACAAAGGGTCAAGGTGGACGCTCTGTCCGATAACGAAGGACAGTCGTCCAGCTCGGAGTCTGACGATCCCACTGGGATAAACGAGGACGAGAGATACAGTATGGACTCGGGCAGCGACAATGAAGTAGATCCTCTTATGATCGACGAGAGAGAGGTCGGATTCAGGAAGCTGGAGCCACCGGCAGGTCAGGAAACACCATCACAAGCAAATAGTTTATATATGCTTGAAAAATGTAAGAAAAAGTTGATTATTAAGGATGGGAAAATTATAGGCAAGTCAAAGACCCAGCGCAAGGATAAAGGGGTACGTAGTAATGAGGAACGATACCAAAGAAAAAGGGCCTTAATTTTTTGATATTTTTAGAAAACAAGATTTACGGCTTACATGCTATGGGCAAAGAAAATTAGGCAAGAACTGTTAGAGCAATCTCCTTACATGGGTATCCGAGCTATATTCATGTTTTTTTTTTCTTTTACAAACTATAAATGCATGCGACCTCGATGTTGTTCATTGATCGTTGCTTTTTGTAGATTTTGCGGCAATTTCTAAGCGGTTAGGAGAGCTGTGGGCTACAGTACCACATCTGGAAAAGTATAATTGGCGCAGACGTGCCAAGCGCTTGGCAGCAAAGCCTCATTCTTTGCCGGCAAGTAAAGACGAGCCTGTTTGGAAAATGCCACCACCTGCCTCGCGAAAAAAATTCATTAATAAAATTGGTGGGTTTGCTAGTTGATTGTACATGGGCATGTACGATTTGTGTCATGTTGTGTCGTAGTTTGTGTACCTCTGTCTTGTTCTTCGTGTGCATGTGCATTAGCCAAAGACATTTATCGAATCGTATATATACATATATGTCTTGCGACTTTTGTAATTATAATATCTTGATTTGTCTTTCATACGCATGCACATATTGTTTATTCGGACGCTCCGTACGGCATTAACAAGTTATTCTGTATATATTGTATTTCAGGCAACGGGAAAGAGACAAAACCCGCTTCTACAAAGAAAACTATTCAACTCGGCGTGCCGTCTGTCGTTGGGAACGTTGCAGTCTCGCCACCTACGAACCGCGTCAATAAAGACGCGATTAACGAGCCGGTAATAGGCACGGGAATGTACAAAGTTGTTGGAACACAGCCAATCGATGTTGCGGCCCATCTCAAATTGCTTGGCGAGAGCTTGACGATCATTGGGGAACGCTTGAAGGAACACGACGGTCAGATAGCTGTTTCCGGCAGCCTTTCGGTATTACTGGATTCGCTGCTCTGTGCCTTAGGCCCGTTAATTTGTTTAACGCAGCAATTGCCGGAAACTAACGGAGCTAAACCTGAAACACTTTCCCAAATGCTGGACAACATCGCTTATCTTATGCCTGGTTTATAATGTACAAAATGTGTAAAGTATAGAATTATACATAATAGTGTAAATACTCGTGTGACAAGTTAGATATAAAAAAGGATTATGAGCGTGAAAACAAAAATTGCGTTCATTTACTACAAAAATTTAATCTTGAACACAGATTCTCGTTATATTTCGTCTACTGTCAGATAAAAAAAAATCAACATTTATGTTTTCTATAAATAATATATTTGTATAAAAGTTATAATAAATATTTAAATAGTTCTGCGCATTGTATAACTAAGTAGCTGTACATCGTATATTGTTGATATAACGTCACAATTACTGCTCTGTAGGCAAGATGGGCGGACATGTACAAAATAGATTCTTATCACCGTATATGTCGTCTATCCTTCCAACGCTTGGCCAAATCTTGTTGTTTCCTTTCACAAACGTCTTGAAAAAAAAATTACGCGTTATTAACAATACACGTTTGACATAATGAGATACTTACAGCGGGGAAAGCTGCCAGCTCTCGCGAATATGGTCGATTCCACTCGGTCGTTATCACTTGCTCCTGCGTGTGAGGTGCCATTTTCAAAGGGTTCTGTGCAATATCTAATTTTCCTTCTTCAATGTCCGCGATCTCCTTCCTTATAGCTGTCGAGAGATACAGACGTGAGTAAACGACGAGAATATTAACACTCGTTAAAATATTTTAAGCGTCATTCAAATCTGTTTTTTTTTAGAACTCACAGATCAAAGAATCACAAAATCTGTCCAGCTCAGTCTTGTCCTCGGACTCCGTCGGTTCGATCATTAAGGTACCGGCCACTGGCCAGCTCATGGTCGGTGCGTGAAAACCATAATCCATCAGTCTCTTCGCGATGTCAACGGCCTCGACATTGGCAGTTTTCTTCAAGTCCCTCACGTCTAGGATGAACTCGTGCGCAATTAGCCCGCTTTCACCCGTGTACAACGTCTTGTAATGCTTCTCCAATCTCTTGCTCATGTAATTGGCGTTGAGTATAGCCACTTGCGTAGCCTTGCGCAAGCCTCTCGGACCCATCATCTTGATGTAAGCCCACGAGATCGGTAGAATGGCGGACGAGCCGAATGGTGCGGCCGATACGGCACCGAAATTCTTTAAATCCCCATAGTCGTTACCCGAACAATTTACCACTGGATGATTTGGCAGGAAAGGTATAAGATGCCGCTTCCTACAAATTATATATATATTTTTAATATCAAGAATTATTTGACGCCAGTACATGACTAACAATAATTAAGCTTGTAATCGACACAGAATTTTAACACACAAAATTTCTTGCGAAACATTACCTCAGCCAGGGTTTCAACCTGGACCTCCCTCTCTCTCTCTAGGCGGGCGTCTCACCAATTCGACCGAGGCATATGATAATATTTGTCGCAGTAACAGTATATTTTCGTCTTTTGTGAAATGCGCGTCGTCCTGCGGAGGTCCAGGTTCAAACCCTGGCTGAGGTAATATTTTTTGCAATAAATTTTCTATGTTAAAAACACCAGTCGTGGTCGATTACAAGCTTAATTATACACATTTTTATACATAACTTAACAACAGCGAAGGATTGTAAAATTATAATAATTGCTCACACTCCGATGGGACCCATGCCAGGCCCGCCGCCACCGTGAGGAATGCAGAACGTCTTGTGCAGGTTGAGATGCGACACGTCGCTGCCGTAATCGCCGGGTCGGCACAAGCCAACCTGAGCGTTCATGTTGGCGCCGTCCAAGTATACCTGACCGCCTGCGTTGTGCACCATGTTGCATATGTCACCGATCGTTTCCTCGAACACGCCGTTCGTCGACGGATACGTGATCATAAGGCACGACAGCGTCTTCTGGTACTTGTTGATCATCTCCTTCAAGTGCGCCGTGTCGACGGAACCGTCCTTCCGCACGAGGATCGGCTCCACCTGCATACCCGCCATTTGGGCGGATGCGGGATTCGTGCCGTGCGCGGATATCGGAATCAGACAGACTTGCCGATGCTTGTCGCCCCTCGACTGGTGATAGCACTGTATAGCCCTCAGGCCCGCGTATTCGCCCTGCGCCCCGCTGTTCGGCTGGAAACTAATGCCGTCGTAGCCGGTGATCGCGCACAGATCTCGTTCCAGTTCGGCGAACAGTTGTTGGTACCCCACGGCCTGCTCGAGCGGAGCGAAAGGGTGTAGGTCTGTTAAACCTTTCAAACTGCACGGCATCATCTCCGTCGTTGAGTTCAGTTTCATCGTGCAAGAGCCCTGATCAACGATAATATTAGTAAAAGGAAAGGGCAAACGTACGTGAGCGTACGAATACGATATTTGTAACAATAATAATCATCACCAGTGGAATCATGCTGTGCACGAGAGATACATCCTTGTTCTCCAGGGACTTCATGTATCTGACTATTCTCGTCTCCGAGTGATAGCTATTGAAGACGGGATGCTGTAAGTACGAAATAGTACGGTGGAAGTCCGACTTGTCCAGGCTTCTCACGAGAAAGCTTTCATCCTTGACCACCTCGCCAGTCGTGATACTCGCCGAAAATATCTTGAAAAGATCATCCACGTCCTCCGTCGTGGTTGTCTCGTCGAGAGAAATTCCGATCGAACCGTCCTCGAAATATCTGTGAATTTTCGTTCGCAGTTTCATTGATGAGAACCGTTAACTATTGCCGTCTATTTAGGGAAGTACCTCAAGTTTATTTTAGCCTTATTCGCATTGTCCCTTATCGTCTGCATGGAGATCTTTGGCGACACTGTAATGGTATCGAAGAAGTATATGTTATTTATCTCGTTTCCAGCCACCTCCAGACCCTTCGCCAGAGCGAGCGTCAAATTGTGCACTCTGCTCGCGATGTCTCGTATTCCCTGAGGTCCGTGATACACCGCGTACATCGCCGACATATTAGCGAGCAACGCCTGTGCGGTGCAAATGTTGCTGGTGGCCTTGTCCCTCCTGATGTGTTGCTCGCGCGTTTGCAGGGCCAACCGATAAGCGTCCCGTCCGCTGGAGTCTCTCGTCACACCTATCATTCGGCCGGGCATTAATCGCACCAGTTTCTGCCTGCACGCGAAGAAGCCAGCGTGAGGCCCGCCGTATCCCAGAGGCACTCCGAAACGTTGGCTCGTACCCACGCATATGTCGACGCCGAAATCGCTCGGCGGCTGAAGCACCGCCAACGCAAGTAAGTCGGTGGCGGCGCAGACCAATGTCTAGCAAAATGTATTGCTTGCATTAATAATCGTTTGTAAGTATTATAAAGATCAATGATATGTAGTTTTTCAAAAACGACCTACACTGGCCAATGTTTTTATTTAAAAAAACAAACGACGTTTCGGTCCCGGATTTGGACCCTTTTCAAGTAATCCGTTCACACAATTGTTACTGATATCGTTCGTTTGGCCAATATCGAACTGTCCCAACAGTTCAATCCGACATCTCGTCCAACACACTCTCTCGATACTTTTACTTGTGTCTTACAATTAATAATGCAACTTCAATCGACTCTGCACTCTTCAACCAAAGAGTGCAAACATTTTTTGACTAATATCTTATTAACATAACGATATTGGCCAAACGAACAATATGAGATCAGCAACAATTGTGTGAACGGATTACTTGCAAAGGGTCCAAATCCGGGACCGAAACGTCGTTTGTTTTTTAAATATAAACATTGGCCAGTGTAGGTCGTTTTTGAAAAACTACTTATCATTGGTTTTATACTACTGGCGATATTGAATCTATTTGTGAATTATAAAAATCATTGAATATCATATTATAAAAGTACTAAAAATCGCAGGACATTGCGCACTGGAATTTATACCTTTGTTGGCATATACGTAATTTTTAATTGTTCTACATATGTCATAGTGTTTAATAACACGCACCCCGTTTGCGTGCGCCTTTTGAACAACGTCCTCGAAATCGTGGATGCAGCCATTGGTGTCGGGATACTGTATGAGAATACCGGCAACATCGTTTCCGCTGGTGTCCACTTTAAACACATCCCCGACTTCCAGCGTTAAACCCAGGGAAGCGGCGCGCGTTGCGATAACGCTAATGGTCTGGGGATGCACTCGGTCGGAGATAAACAGCTTCTTTCTTTTGTTATGTCGACACGCGAGCGCCAGGGCCTCCGCCGCCGCCGTCCCTTCGTCCAAGAGGGAAGCGTTCGCCACCTCCATCCCCGTGAAGTCACATATCATGGTTTGGTAATTCAGCAGGCCTTCGAGGCGTCCTTGCGAAATCTCCGGCTGATAAGGCGTATATTGCGTCGTCCTGTGGCGAAATACAAGTTGTTTGTACGATTCTCTTCTCACGTTTATCAATTACATGTGTTTGCGCGATTTACCATCCAGGGTTCTCGAAAATGTTACGCATAATCGTGTGCGGTACGCAGCAGTTGTGGTATCCCATGCCGATGTAGGAGCGCCATACCTCATTCTTTTCCGAAATTTTCGTCACCCGCTTTATTAGCTCGTACTCGGCTGCAAAGATTACTTCTGTTAACTTTTACTTCGCTTTGTATGACGAGAAAATGTGTTAATTGTAATTATTTATGTTGGCGCGATATTGTTGAAAAGAAGCTGCGAAAATGTGATGAGCAAAGCATGCGGTGGTGCAGGGTAAAATTGTAGATATCGGGGAGGAGGGGGAATATATTAAATGTAGAAAAGAAGAACACACACGTGAAGGCGCAGCAGACGCACGAGATTGAACTGTGACCTGAGATAACAATTTGCGTGGAGGGTTATCAGGATTAGGGCAAGTCGGATCGGAAAGTCTCGTGAGTTGTCACGTTTTCGCGGAATGACCCACAGCTATCGCGTCGTATCTCGCAAGAATAAAAAATACATTTTGCTATTTATAAGTGTACTCTTAAGAGAAACTTGCGTAATTTTGCAGACAATGGAACAACGACCTGACAACTCACTCCCATTGTACGATCGCATGTCGATAATATCGTGCACGTTACAATCAAGAAAAACTACTCACTAACTGGCTCATCGAGATTTAAATCACCCTTGTGAAGAATTTTAGCCGGCACCGCAGCTTCCGTTAATTCATCAAGACTCTGCAATATTGTGTCGCGAATAAACATTAGTCCAGTTGCGATACAAGTATTTTCAGGGTATAAATGATTTTCAGAAATGAATTACTTTAAATCCGATGAATTTCAACATTTCTCTCTGCTCGTGTTCCCTGGGTCCAATGTGCCTCGCCTGAAATTCTCCCTTTTGCGGGAGCAACCTGCCCATATTCTGCCTGCGTGAACTGCTCAGCTGCAAACCACGTATATGTCGAGTCACAATATTGTGCTCGTTTAGCAGTCTGGAGCACTTGGCCATCTTTAAAGCGCACTGCATCGTAACTTTCAGGAACAACGTGCACTCAAAAATATATTGGAAACAGACTGGAATGCGGCGCTTAGTATTTAACACTACGGTCACTCGGAGATCTCCTTAAAACTAGCAAGTGTTAAAGTTGACGGAGGTTTTATACTCGGTACTTAGATATCGCATGATGTCACAACGCCTGATTACAGCTTGAACTTATCAGCTTTTGAACCCTGAGCCGTTCGGCGTCTAAGACAATATTGAGAAATTATTTTCGTCGTTAATATCTCGTGACGCTGAGGAGTTGAACGTTTGATCTAGAACAATTTACCCCGTGTGTTCCGATATTACTGCCAGTAAATATTGATGATCTACAGTGAACGTAATGTAAACTAGAGCTTCAGCACCGATAGGAATATCGGGACACAGTGTCAATGTTAATTTTTACCAAACAAATTTTATTTTCGCTTTCAAGTTGCAAACATTATGCGTAAGAGATTTCGTGTAGCGCAACACAACTCCTTTTTTATATTATAGTAAAAGTTTAGTTATAATAAAAGCAATTTTATTATAATTACAGATTTAGCATATTAATAAAATTCAAGTACATTAAAAAAAGATTGCGATAAGACAAGACAAAATGTGTTATACGTTTTAAAAGATTTTTTATTTATGAGATGTTATTGAAAGCAACATTCGTACGTAAAATAGATCAATTTATATGAGAAATGTTCTAGTACATATAAGATTGTTTTCTTATAATAGATTTTAACATTATATGTACACTTAAAACAATTGTCTTAATTAATTGTAATTAAGGATAACTAATCAAAGAACTGAGAAAATTAGGACGCAATCGACAAATGATTAATTATTCTTTGTCCGACGGATATGTGGGGGAAATAAGTTACATTAAGATTAAGTTTTACTTCAAAAATTTGTCTTGATTTTGCGCTAGTATCTTGGCGGACGATTTAGCGTCTAAGAAGAGCGAATTGACTTCCTCGATGTCCTCCTTCTTGATGCTGGTTCTCTCATTGACTCTCGCCGTCAGAGCAGCAGGTGTTAACAGTTGCACTGCATATCTCAGAGTAGTCTTCGTGCCGAGTTCGCCGAGGACGGACAGAGCTTCGTCGTCGATTTGCAAACTTTCCGTAACGACTCTCAGTTTTACTATTTGTTCGATCTCTTGTCTAGAGTATGGAAGAGTTCTTATAATGAGAAGACGGTCCAACAGGTCGAGAGGTATGCCGTGCGGAGAGCTGATGTCCTCGGATCCCCTGATGACGCAGCGGCCACGATTCGTCGCGAAAATGACGATCGGCGCTATAGCACTTTCCAGGGCGCGGTGTAGGTAGGTAAACGTCTCTATGTCTAGCATATGAACCTCGTCTATGAACAATACTCCTGGTACTAACTCAGCAATGCCTTGATCGATATACTTGTTCACTACTTTGTTTATCTCCTTCCGCAACTTATCTGAAATAATTTGTTTCTGATCAGACACATGTTTAACTACAATTAAATATGTAATTATCCAACAATTAATAGTTTAAGAAAAACAATATATATTTTGATATCGTTGCCATTCAACAGAACGACATTACAAGTATTGTCTTCAGCTTGCTTCAGCAGATCTACTTGCTGGAGATGGACATTACGAATGATTCTGTATAAATAATGTACCAATGATCTCCTCTTTTACCTGTGATTTCAGTTTTCTTGGGTTTCATCAATTGTCCCATCATGGACATTATGTCCTGTCCCCCTTGCGGCTTGGCATTAGCAACGTCCAAATCGTGCAACGTTACGTCCTGAATAACTTCCTTCTTCTTGTGCACGTCGCCCTTCGGCAGGGGAACATACTCCTCCGCTTCCAGGTCGAATTCCGTAGCAAAATTATCGCTTCGACCCTGCCTCTTCACCGCCCCGTTATTGCCTTCGATGTAGATTACGTCGCCAGTTTCCACCTTCTCCTTTTGCAGGGACTCGTATATGGAAGGGTCCAGTTTCAATTGCTTCGTGCCTTTGGAAGTCTTCAATCCCAGGATCACGTGAGCTACGGTTTTACCGTAACCGCCCATGGGATTCTCCGTCTCGACAGGCGTCAACTCGGTGACCTCGCCCTCGAACACCTCTTTGGTCTCTTTGATCCTCAAGCCGATGGCCCTCCTGAAATTCTCCATGAGGACCTCCGTCTTCTTAATTTCCGAGCTGTAAACCTCAGAGCCCACCATTGGGCAGAAGGGCACTTTGTTCCCAAGTTCCTGAGCGATGGCGAGCGCTATCGCGGTCTTGCCTGTGCCTGGCGGACCGGCCAGCAACACGGCACGTCCTGCCATTTTCTTCGACTTAATCATATCGACAACGATTCCAGCTGCCTGTAAGAACAACATTACAATTAATAATCCTGATCACCGCCCGCCGAGTCATTAGTGTACAACGAAGAACGTGCGACTTTGATGCAAACTTTGTATGGACTTTACTTTCGTATTGAGAAGACAAATATGGACACGATAATGAGTATCTTCCTGCAAAGTATGTAAAAAACAGGCTAGTTAGTCCTGTCTTATTATATATTATTAATTATTATTATTATTACGGTTAGGACAACACGTGAGAGCGACGATTGATTGAATCATAGTCGAGTCGGAGTTGGGAGTCTGCAGTCTGATACGTGCTTGAAGCCCAAGTATCAGACTATGGATTGAGATTGAGATTAGATTGAGATTTGATCAATTAGACTAAAAATTACTAAACTTGAGATTAGTAAACTTTACTGTGACTGGTGAAATTTCAATCTAATCCCAATCTCAATCCGTAGTCTAATACGGTAGCTTTTAAACGTTGCAGGCAAGCGTGGTGCAACACGCGGGCGCTCATTATTCTCCCCGAGGACCTCCGCTTTCTTTATCTCCGCGCCACCGGGCAGAAAGCCACCAAGTTCCCGAGCAATCTCCGCGTAGGGAAGAGAGAAAAGCCCGAGTGCCGCCACGTCCGAAACTAACCTCTCGCGCCATTTCCTGGCCGACGAGACCAGCCGCGCTCTGGAGGGCCACGCCACTCTCGTCGAGCCCGAGGCCCTTGATGTGCGTGTGCGCGGAGATCCGCTGGGTCTTGGCGGTGCTCTTCACCTCCTCGATCTTCATCGTTGAAATTTATACGAATCGACGCGGACTACCGGCGGCGGCGAGGTGACCACGTTGCCAGGCTATGTTTGTTTGGTCGGACGCACCTCCTCTCTCCTTCCGATTCCGAGCCGTTAGGCTGAGTCTACATAGGATGTAGTAAGTCGTGTCGGAAGAAATTGACCAATCACAGTTCATTATTCTTCGACCGTAAGGAGAATAATGAACTGTGATTGGTCAATTTCTTCCGACACGACTTACTACATCCTATGTAGACCAAGCCTTAGAGCGACGCCATTAAAGCCTCCGCTACAATGATTCTCGGTTCTGTCTACAATGGTCGTAGTCGTAGTCGCTCGATAAGAATTGACCAATCGCAGTCGATTATTCTTACGACTACGACTCTGCGACACGCATTGTAGTACCACGCATAAACGGATGCGCCGCGTTGCGAAGCGGCGGCTCGTATCGACGTCGAGTCGTCGTCAGGAGGTCTTGGTCGCGTTATTCGCGACGAAATTAAGAAACGCGTTCAAAAGTAAGAGCCCACGTCTTCCGAATTGCCTGCCGAGAGGGGAATGTAACCCCGCGTTCGCGAAAGATAGATTTGCCGACTGCAGCCCGCGTCAAAAAGTCCGCGTCTAGCGATTGATACGTTTGCCGAAGGCTAGATGTCTCATGGGATGACGATTTCTCGATAGCGCCACGGGCAGACCGACTCCGTATATAAGAGCCGTCTAGGAAACCTGCCGTTGGGTCTGATGCACCTGGGAAAAAGCTATCGATAAATCGTAATCTTAATTTGAAGTTGCCGATGATTTCAGTACCGTTCAACTATCGCAGCTCAAGGTGTGACGTCGACCCATTTTGCTCCGAGACACCGTTTTCCCGCGGAGATTCTTTTTCGCTAGACCTCGTCCCGACGCCGTACCCTCGCGCTCGTATCGATTATTCGGCTCTTTCGTCCGAACTCGACGCCCCTCCAATTTAACCCTAACCGCGACCACGTATTCTCGTCTGCCTCTCTTGGATAACAGGAGAATTAGAAGATGTAGTGGGATAATTACAGTTGACAGACGTTCGAGAAGTCAAACTTTCATCTTTTTGATGCATTTCTATATGCTGAAAATTCACCTGTACTTTAATTATAATTTATGTGATACTTTAAAATTAGAATACAAGTTAAAAATGTTGAACTCCGTTTCTGTGCGAAAACTACTCATATTTTATTATAATTAAAGTATATTAAATTTAAATTATAATATAAATTACAAATATTGAGCTAATTGAACTTCAATCTTTCTGCATAGTGAAAATTCACACGTATTTAATTATAATTAAAGTACATTAAGTTAAAATTATAATACAAGTTACAAATATTGGAATAGAATCACCACTGTTCGCCATATTATCGTGCAACTCAATGATTTTTAGAATGAGGAACCACACGCGAACGAGCTCGAGAATAATAAATAAATGTTTATTGCAATGTACATTTCAACAGCTTACAAAACTTATGCGTCATTAAGTACTGCGACTTATCTCTTTCAATTCCTTCGCTTCTGTCTCCCCCTGAAACGGAATCATACTTTGTACAGAGGCTTCGTCTCTTTGTCCTCCGACACCGTCGTCTGGTTATCTTTCATCTGGAAGGAGAGATTTCGCGCATTAAATGCCAAGTACCGATGAAGAGACGTCGCGTTAAAGACTCGCCAGACTTACTTTGACGTGAGCGTACAATATAATCCCCACCAGCGTCAAAGTTATACCAATGACTTGATTTATCGCTAACGTTTCATGGAAAAGCAACGAGCCTCCTAGCAGCAGGAGGCAGAATTTGGAATGTCCGACCATGTTGTATCTGAGCGCTTTGTTAAAGTGTATAACACGCAAGTTTGTCGGCGTCTCGTGACATAACACTAATGTAAGGATACGTTAAAGGCGATGTCTTTCCTATGATCCAGTAGGAAGTCAAGTTGACGAAGAAGGCGACCACACCGGACAGTACCACCATCATCTGTAATTGACGTACAATGCGATCGTTCAATCTCAGTAGCTTCTCTTGTCGCCGGCAACGTTTCAGAAACCTACTATGTCCAACAGCGACCAATTGTGCGCGAACGTCTGCCCGACCGGCTCTAGAATTGGGACAACAATCAACAGCATGACGGCGGACAGCGGCGCTTGGTAAAACAACAACTGCATCGGGTCCATCTGGAACTCCTTCTGTTTTCTATTTATCATCTGCAAAAGAACAAGTGCGATAATCGGTGTTACGCCTGCACATCCTTAAAACTAGACTCCCCGCATTGAAAAGCGAGGGGCATCGGCGTGCGGCACGTACAACTTGATACAGGGACGTGACGAGTACGCCCAGCGTCGCGTAGATGGTCCCGACGACGTTGAATTGTATGTCGTAGTAGAAGTTGATGACGACGCCCAGGGTGATCGGGATCAGCGTCAATTTGACGAGCACGCCGAAGCGCTTCCTGTAAAATATCATCTGCATCACGATCACGCAGGGTGTCGTCAGCATCTTCGCCACCTGATAGGTGCCGACCGTGTTGTGGGCCAGGCTCAGGTTCGTCAGGACGACGAAGCCGCAGAACGTCATCGCGATCAGCACCATCTCCTTGATGTCGATGTCCTTGACGCAAAAGACGTCCAGCTTCTCGCAGACTATCAGACCGACGAACGTCATGAGGAAGTGTATCATGGAGAGGGTGACGTTCGGGAAGCGGGTGTGGACGTAGAGCCATTTGTTGAGGAGCACGATTATAATCGAGAAGACGATGTTAAGCGTCAGGTAGAACGCGGTGACCACCTTCTTGTTCATCTTGGCTGCGCGCAAACACGGCGACCGGGTTAACGGCAGGGCGTCAACGCTCGGGGCGTCGGGTTACATCTCGCAGTGCGAGCGCGCACGTCGGAATCACGCCGGCTCGGAGGATATCGTCGGCAACGACGCTACGGCCGTTCCATTCGGGCCCATTTGTGCCGCTCCGTCCGATAATCACGTAATTCGCGTGTGTCGAATGGCGCGCCACGTCCGCGGGCGTCCCGCGAGCATCCGCTCGCCAATCAGCCGGCATTTCAGACGCGACGCGGGGGACGACGCCAGACGACGCCAGGCAGCTGGACGAGCCCACGTGACTCCCTGCCGCGCGTGCACGAGTGCACCGAGTGCATTTTCGGTAGCACACGTGCCATAAACTGTATACATTTGTTTGCTATTGTTTTGTTCTTTAGAGATATACTTATAAATATTGGATGGTGTGAAAATTAAGACGATTTTGAACGTAACGTCGGATCACGGCTGCGCTCCACTTTGACGCTGCAAATTCTTCAAAGCGTTCTTCGTCTTTATTGTTAAAGCCCGCTGCTGGGCTATAAATTACTAGGAATCCTGAGTGCTGGGGCTCGATTCTTGAATTTATTCGAAGGAGAAACGTATGCGAAAATTCTGCTCTTACAGAAAAGTTGCAAGTTGATAGGCTATTCGCATGGCTTTAACCAATCGACTTTCAACTTTTCTGTCAGAGCAGAATTTTCGTATACGTTTCTTCCTCGAATGAATTCAAGAATCGGGGCCCCTGAATGGTGCAACGATAGTAATTTATTAGATTGCAAGCGATCAAGCAGGAAAAACAACTTCGCCTGCAGCGGGCTTAAGGTTCAGTTAAAAAGAACAGACTTATTGTCGAGAGGGCGCTTGCGAGGTTTCCCCGAGAGATCGGCCATCTTCAATAGCGCACAGTCGATGACGCGGCGCGGAGCACGAGGCGAGCGCCAAAAAACCGTTCGATAACCGCTCAAAATCCTCGGCGGTTTTTCTGTGATGCAAAGTGACGGGTGTCGTCGCAGCGGCTCCTTCAAAGGTATCGGAACATGGTAGAGTTCCCGCTGGGTTACCGCGAGGTCGTGCCGGATCAAACTCTGCCAGAGAAATGGAAGGAGATCACCCTGAACACAGGTAAAGCGTGCCCTAACCTCCGGCCGGGTGGCTCGGCCGCCCGGCAAACCGAAATTTCGCTCGCGACGTCACATAAAAGCGTCCCGAGGGACCGCTCGCGGCGACGCGCGGACGCGACGCTCGCGAAATAGCGCGTCGCGTGACGCTCGCCGGTCCAAGTATCAATTTTCACGTGCCCGCCTAACCTCCGCCCGTCCGCCGCGCGTTCCGGGCGGTTCGGTCTCGGATTTTCTCGCACACACGTGCAAATCGAGCGATGTACGCCACCGATTTTCTCTTGCACACGCACGTCAAACGCGCACGTCAGTTTGCCGCGTTTCGGTAAAATTTATAATTTTAGAACAGCAATTGCTATTTAATTGGACACTATTGTTGTTACACAAAGTCTTATAATTGAAAATTATACGTGACGAAAGTTAAGATAATTACACTATTATACTGTTATCCAACTTCTAAGCTGCCAGCACTTTTTCATTAAAATACCGTTCTTTGTTTTCCAAAAATTGATCTATAATTAAGTAATGTGCACATTGCATCGGATCGCGAAAATTCAGAGGCACAAAAGTGGACCTCCCGGCGCTCTAAAGGCTAAAAACGGAGGAGCAGATAATAAGAATGTTATTTTCACAGGCGGAAGCCAAAGCACGTTGCAAGACATAAAAGTACCAGAGAGGGCAGGTGGCTACGCCTATAAAGATTCTTCCAAGTATTTCACTCGCAACCGCTTCATTTACTGGCGCATCTCCCACGACGTGCTCGAATTGGTCGAGCACAGTCTGGACGTTAATCTCGCCAACTGCCGGGTGAGATACAAGTTCACGGACACTCCAATTCTGGATGGAATCTCCATCCACGAGACGATCAACTCCGTCGTCATCTTGATCGTCACAGTCTCCAGCGTTCACAAGCTCTCCTTTTCTCACCCCGATAAGATTCACAATCAGGTACGCGCAAATTTTCTTACTCGTCTCTGTATATCTTATTACTAGAGGTGTGACATCTTGACGTTGTCTTTATACGCAAAATACTGCAAAATGCCCCGGGAACGTTTTTAATGTCATCTCTTTATATTTTGGAGTCCTCCAACTTCGTTTTAACACGTTTTTAAAACGCAAAGTAATGCAAAATAGTGTCCAAATAACGTCAAAAATTGCAGTTTTCCTTATTAAACATTTCTAACGTCAATGTTGCATTCTAAACCAAAGAGATTTATGCCTAAGACTAGTTTTTGTTTAATTTTGTTAGACCCATTACTGCTTTTTTAGCCTGAAAATGATGTGTAATTTCAGTAATTTGTTCCATGCCATTTTAATATGTTATGTTTTATGTTACATTTTTTAACTCTCTTCTTCAAGGAAAATCTATTAGGCACATATACCGACTTGAGTGTACAGTCTATCTTTAGCGAAGCCACCGCACAACATGCCAGAGATCCTCACACATTTCACATCATCTCCAATGCTGGAGCGACAAGTAAGAGCGCGCGGAATATAGTAATACTTGAGCTGTGGTCCAAAATGCGCTCGCAGTGTTAAAAGTCTACAGTTTACGTCATTCATTATCATCATAACCGGCTCTACAGCCCCAAGTGGACCCTCGCCTTCACAACAAATGCAACAGTGAATTTGGACGGCGAGGGGTTGTTAGCCTCTCACAAACCCCCTTTTCGGAGGACAGGGATATGCGCACATGTCTCTGCGCCACGCTCGCCATACAGTTTACGTCATTTACAGTATACATTTTTAGCACTGCGAAAGCATTTGAGCGCATTTCAGACTGCAGACTTACAACAATGAAATCGTGTCAAGATATTCACCCGACACTGTTGCTTTTAGATTCTCCAGTGCCTCACGCAGCAGCGTCGTGGCTCACGTGGCCGCAGGAAGAGGCATTGTTCGCTCTTGCTTACAGCTCGGCCACAATATTACTCTTGAGGCTCGATACCCTCACGGGCCTCGTGCACGCCAGCGAACTGAAGCAGGACTCGATAATGCCCAAGTTTCTGAGCGGTATAGCCACTGCGTTCAGAGGCCGTAATACCGAGGCTTACGTGGCCATGTCTCTCGTTATACACAGTTACGGTAGCGACACGTATCTGTTTGCATTGTGTCGAGAGGGCAATATACGAATATGGTCTTGTAACAAGACGCAGTGCATAGCTGTGACGGACGCAGCAACCGAGAATCGCATTGTGTCTCTAAGCGCGCAGGGCCATGTCCTGAGGAAAGCGTTGGGCAACGATAACGAATTGTATCTTGGAACTTTCTTGAAATTTGGCACGAAATGCGAATTCAGCATTCTGAAGCCCGTGCAGGACAACGGCATATTTAAGTTTGTTAGATTATGTACGTTATATGCGCCGGATGTGAGTACTCTCGTTGACATGTCTTTCTTTCTATGTATTTTACTATGGAACAAGCTTGTAATAAATCCACATTGTTTCCTGCGCAGCAACATCTGGTAGATTTTGCATTCACGCCGACCAGATTGTGGGCGGTGTGGAGGACCGCGGACATGGATGCGGTGGCGGTGACGCACGCACAGTTGCCGCTCACCGCACAGCACCGCGTCATTCCCGAATGGGAGACTACGATCTTGGAGCAAGCGCGCGACAGAGATTACATTGTGACCGAGCCTGGAACGGATCCGAGGGAAGCGTACATCAATTACATCTTTCATCCTGGACAGTTCTCGCTGGCGGACATCACGAAAGCTCTTAGCATCTACAGAAGGTCCAACGTGGTGGCGGAAATGAACTTTTCGCCGGCCGTTTTGAAGGAGAGGGTGTGCATGGCCGTGGAGGCAGAGATGCAAGCGGAAGTGATGGACTACGTGATTATGGATGAGGATTATCTCGAGATCGCCAATCGATGCTGGTCGAAATTCTACTCGTGCGTCGTCCAATACCACGCCAACGGCACTCGCCCTGTAGGTCTGCTGCTGCTGCCGAACGTTTACGGCGTGGTATTGTTGAAGAAGTCCTCGTTCTCGCTTCTAAGACCTATGGAAGCCTTGGAACATCTGGCGCTTTGCAACGACAAGTCCTGCATTTCCCGGTTCAAGACAACGCCCGTTCTGTCGCAAGACGAAGACACGTGCCAAGACCTGATCGCGTTGATGTCCGCGTTGATCATGTTAGGAGAGCAATTATCTGAAGAGGTCAAAACGGAAATCGAGAGAGAATTGTATCATCTGAGAAGTCCCGATATCATAATCGACGATTTGCTGTCGAAACTAACGCTGGAACCCGACGATCCGGTGAGTATTTTAAATAAATTCTACCCTACATTTCTTTATGCGTTGGAAATATCATTCCCGTGTAACACGTACGTTGTTGAAATTAGCTGTCTGATTTTGACTTCCAATCGGAACTCTGTCACAAACTGAGCAACGTTAAAGACCTGTCGAGCGCCATGGCCATGTTGTTGGAAGCTCTAACGTATGATCTCGGGCAGCCAAATAAGCTGCAATTCGAGGACGATCACACCTCGAAAGTCTTGTTGAACGTCAGTCATCTATTCGGCAGTCAACTAGGAATTTCTGCGGTAGCGGAAACCATAACGCAAATAGCGCTCTTGAGATTCTCCATCTGCAGGGATTTATTGATGCTGCAACAACTCATACTGCTACGTCCTGAAATATTCAATTCGAGATCTTTGCACACCATAAGATCATCGTTGACGCCGAGAACCGTTGTACTTACTCAAGCTTACTATGCCGTCACGTGGATATGCGAGTCGACGGCGACGTATACGCCCTCGCAATCATTACTGTGAGTCTTATCGTTTTAGTGCGCAAAGACAATATAAATTTATTTCCGATTGTCATGTAATATCTCAGAAACGTCATGTATAAAGGAGATAATTAATGTTTTCAGAGAATCCAGCTCACAGCGTCTTTCATCTCTCAAGCTCAGTGACTCGCGAATTAACGTTGGACAAAGGCAGCATCGATCTCTCTCGCTGTTGGAACTGTTTATCCACAGCAGCGGCGCGAAACACGCTCATATTCTGATGGCCCAAGCGAATATGGACCCAACCACTCTGATACCGTGGCATTACAGTATGCTGACGCATGTGACGCTCATCGCGCAACTTGTGTATCCTTTAATAACAATTTTTTGCGACTTGAAGTCCAAATGTAGATTCACTCCAGATTCATGAAATTCGTCCCTCTATATTTTCCTGAACGAAGCAATTAGATGGCCGATATCCGGAAATTTTATCTTTCCCGAATGGCTACTCTCCAGTTGCCAGTTCCTGCTTGTTCAAGAGTACGTGAGGCTCCTGAGCACGTGGTGCGAGTGGAATAGCGCCTCGAGGAAATTCATATTAGCCGTCGCCTTACTAGAAATGGGAGAGATGCAGAAGGCGTGCGATCATTTTCTTCGTGCTTCCAACGGAATATTGACCGACATGTTTTTAGTGGATGCCTTACTCAATTCTAACGTGACAACGAAAAATAAGGATCTAGTTCATTATTACCTGAAAGTTATCAAATTGTTCGAGGAACACAATGCGTCCGACTGTATCATAGAGATCGTCGAAACGGCCATAGCAACGGCCGACAAAGATGATCCGAATTTACCGACGCTTTATTCCATAACATTCACGCAACATTTAAGCCTGGGTCACCACACGGAAGCTTACCAATGCCTGAACGCGAATCCAGACCCCGTGCGCAAAGTGGACTGCTTACGGCAACTGGTTGTCACGTTATTCGAGAAGAAATTACTGATAAATTTAATTTCTTTCCCCTATGTCAATATGTATGAGGATCTCGAGAAAATAGTAGAAGGTAGAGCCAGAAGCGTTGATCTTATGGAAAACAATTATTATAATTTTCTGTACAGTTTCCATGTCAATAAGCAGAATATGCGGAAAGGTGAGTTTCTTGTTCTACAATCGAGCATACGTCGTTACAAATGTTACAAATTTCATTTATATTTTCACAGCCGCATCTGTAATGTACGAGCAAGCTATGCGTTTAAGTCAAGAACCTCACTCCGCTCCGATCATAGCGAAGCAGGCGCAATGTCTACTGGCGTGTATCAATGCTTTGCATCACGTGAACGAGAGGTACAGATGGATCGTGAGGCCTGTAATTGATCAGAGCATCTGTAGCCCAGAGATAAACTCGTCGAATCCACAGAAGAAGAGAAGCATCGACGGGAAAGAAGTATTGCACTACAAGATAAAGAAACAAATCGAAGTACTCGAGTTAGATGATATCAAGAAGGAATATTATATAGTTGATGCAAGATTAAAAATATCAAAAGTAAATTCGGAAATGCACATAGTCACGCATACTGGTAAATGTCTCTTAACTATGTAATTTATATTAAGGAAATTGAACGGGTTTTATATTATAATTAAAAAACTATTCTGAACAAATATTTTGGTATGTTTCAGAACTGTCCGAGCTCATCGTCACCTTGTGTAGCACTGGTCTGTACGCAACGGCGCTACATTTGTGCGATGAGTTTAAAATTAGCAAAGCCTCTGTACTCAAAAGCCTGACCTCTCAATGCATCAAATTGAGTCAACGCGAAGATCCAAATGCCTGGGATTGGCTGATACAAAATGATATATTTGGTACGCATAGTTGTTAAATTTTTCTAAACCGTTGCTGCGGGATGATACTTTTTTTTCTAAGGAATATACGATAGTCAATATTCTTCTCCAGATATTGGAATATCTAATACAACTATTGCGAACACCGCTTGGAGACTGTTGGAGTATTTGACGTTGAAGCACGAAGAGAGTGACAACTGCGAACTACACAAGGCCGTTGCGCAGAAATTACTGCAGGACGGAGTCTTTCTGCCACAGTGGCTATTGATATCGTACAAGGTGAGTGCTCGCGCGCGACCGACCAAATTTATATATTTCTACATTTACAAAATATTACATTCACATAAAAATATTGTAGAAACGCAACGCCTCGGAGCTTCTACGTCTCATGCTGAATACTGGTCGACTAGTGGAAGCGAGCGACTTGGCGGTAGATTATATTAACGCAGTATTAGGTAGCGGTAAAGAACATTTTGGTCTGAAAACACCATTGGTGGCTCCCGCGCCGTCTAATTGGTTACCACTTAATACCATAGAAGTACTGTTAAGTGAATTACAACACTTGAAGAAAGACTCGGCCCATATAGAGGTATGACAAATGTGTATCTTCACAAGTTGTGTATTTGTATCAGTATCGTGACTCGATACATGCCGAGATTTGTATTTCAGAGCTACGAGATGTTAAATGCAACGCTGGAGAAATATCTGGAAACGGTAGAACGTGTTTCGGAAGATATGATTAAACTGAGAATGATGAATGAACAATTCTAGTAGTAAGTAACATATTCATTTATTCAATGTGTACAATTGTTACAAAAATTTTTGTATATATTAGTTTGGGCCTCCCCGTTGAATGTACATATGGAAGAAAGACTTAATTAAAATAATATAACAGTCAATATACGTACAATTATTTGGTATAAATGCATTACATATAAACTGGATCGTGATTGAGCGATAACATAGTTGTCAGTATGATGATGATGGTAAGAAATGCAGTAACAATCACGGCTACCGTGTGAGGACATCGTTTGAACAGTACCTGTAATTATCGTTTGAAATTTCAAGCTTTAATTTAACGTTCTGTTAATAAAAGAAGTCGTCATGAATACAAGAAATTTCTAGTCGTTACCATTAGCAAAACAACCACTGCGAGAATAAAAATAGATCCGACTGGTAGCCAAAAGGACGCAGCCCAGTAATGTCTCATTTCAGGTTCTATAAGAAACAAAGAAAGAAATCATTTCTGTCACTTACTCTAAAAAATAGAATAGAATATTTTGTATATCATATATGTGCTCACCCAAATTCCCACCTAACCGCCAATTCTGGTTAAATCTGTTGTAAATGGGAGAAGGCGATTTTAATATAATACTTTTGTCTCTTTCAATTGCAGAATCGAGCAAACGTTTTGTATCTACGGTTCGCGTATCATCTCTCAACTGGTCTTCTGCGATGTACATACTTCTGTCAATTTATATTAATACAGTAACTGAAACAGTATAAAAAAAAATTATCACTTATAATTTTTTTAAGTTAATTTTTATTTTTGCATCTGTCAAACAGTGAGTTTTCCATTTTGCAATAAGGAAGTTTGTTTGAGTGGTGATTCAAAGTGCCAAGAATGGATTGTAATATACTTTACACATCTTGTTAGAGTACAGTCAACGGTAAGGATGCTTTGTTGAACGTTTGAATTTTAATTTTAAATTATTGCTTGTTACACTTCATTATTTATTATCGTTTCCATAGCGTTAGAAGCTACAAAATGCATATAACGAAGTTGAATATCGTTGTCACGTTTTTCCTTGATTGTACGTTACACTTTCTGGAGCCTTACCTCTTCTGTAATCTAACAACGTTTATTGTATACAACATTCTCATTAAAGACTGTTACTGATTTGCGATCATTCTCAACGATAGTATGTTATTATATAGTATTTTCTTCCATTTTATATTAAACTCGAACATCAGGAAATAATGTTTTATTGTTTATCCGGGAGTTTTTAAGAGCAGTGATGTAAACACTATGTGTTTATAAACCGATGTTTTTACTTGCAACTTTTATTTAAATCCTGTCACATATCTGTCTAATTGTAAAATAGTACAATTTATTATTGAAACGAGACAATCATCTGTGTAACTTTTAGAAACATTGCGACACGCAGCCATAATCTGCATCATGTATGCAACGAAATATTCATAATTATTTTACCAAATATTATATTGGAACATATGCTTCAAATCTTATACGTTTCTAACGTGATTATGTGTGTAATTCAATTGCGTCATTGATGACAGTTCACAAAAGAACCTGTGAATCGTCGCAAAGTGAGTTTTATATCAATTGACTTTTGCCAAATGTTCATTATAAATTTTGTTCACAGAGAATATTGAAACAACAGTGAATCCGCTCGACGGCACACTGGCAGGAGAAACCGAGAAAAATCTGTAGCTGCCGCACGAGTGAAAAATTTAAGATGGCAAATATTCGCTTTCCACTACAGTGTCATCAGATGACGGGTCCAGCTACAATTAGCTTATCAAGTAATATCTACGCGTTTCAGCGTACAATGAATTTTAGTTTTAATCATTAATTCAACGCGAGAGAAAAACCCGTTAGACCACGAGACACGATAGTGTCTCGCGCAAAGTATAAGCGTAGCTAGAACCGTGTGAACTTCTAAGTGCGCTCAATCGAAAGCTCGGGTTTGATTTGCACAATAAAAGTCCTTTTAGCTCTTTCCTACTTAAGACTGGCAGGACCGTGCGAATTTAGAAAGCGGCACTGCGTGTGGAATCTAGCACAGATGAAGCTGATTAGAGTCTGATCCAGGTAGAATCTACGGCGACCGGTTCCGTGGACACGGTTGACGCCAGCCTCTATCGAGGCTGCGGGTATACTGGACAGCACCAGGCTGAAGCGTCCGCGCTAATGCGCGCGTTACATTCTCGACATATTCTGGAACGTTTCTTCGAACGGAGAAACCTGATGCAATCTGCCGGTGTACGATAGCGCCGCTTCGTTCGCCCGGGCGCGCGATCGTGTGCGTGCACGCGTGCTTACCTCGACGCGCAGCATCCTCTCGATTATCGCCGTCGCCAGCGGGACATCGCTCGCGCTGCAAACCGAGGTGGAGACTAAGCTGGGCCCGACGCGACCGGCGGTGTACGGCTGGCGCGCCCCGGCCGCTGCTGCGCGCACCGTGACATGTTAATCGTATTGCGCCGTGCGAGACAAGCCGAGATAAACAAGTTAAAAGTTCAATCGCGCCTCCGCGCCGCGCGCGAGAGATACCCGACCTGACGCTCGGCAGGTCGCTAGCCGATAAACGCGGCGGTGCACCTCCCCGGCTGCACTCTCCTGCACCCGGCGCGAATCCAATTTATCCCCCTTTCTCTCGTTTCTCGGCCGCGGAGACCCGGGGGCGCGTAACGCGTGCGGTGGAACGAGGACAGGACCGAGGAGAGACGATCCCGAGATCTCGCCGCGTGCGTTCGGCGGCCGCCGCCCGGATCCTCGCCCAACGAGAAAGAGAAGGAGCGAGTGCGTGGCCCCCGACGGCATGGCGGCGTGCTGAAGCACCGGCTGTTTTGTTGACGTTCTGTTCGCGGGCCGAGGCCGCGCGGGACCCGCCAGGATGATGAAGATATCGGCGCTCAACGAGGATTCGAGCGAGGAGAGCGAGGAGGAGGACGTGCCGACGATCACGAAGGAGGCGCAGGTAGACCGCGCGTCTGTTTACGCCGCGGCGCCGTAACCTAGAAAGTAAAAATGCACGAGCTCCTCGGGCGCGTTGATTTACGGCGCGTCCTCGCGTCGGCGTTTACTCGCTTGCCCCCCCCCCGCGACGTGTCGTAATCGGGCGCGGCGCAGAAGCCCGAGCGTTGTTCTCGAGATTTTGTTCTAGCGGTCGCGAAGGCTTCTGTGAAAAGGACTCCTGGTCCCGTAGAGAAACGGACGCGCGTGACACGTGGAGTCGCGTTCAAGGTGGATCATCGTTGGGTCGTCGTCGAGGCGGCGTTGTCGCGGAATTTTTATCTCAGAGTACTCGCGGTAGAGCAAGGTTTCGCTGCGCCCGATTGACGGTGTCTGAGGCGCCGAACGGTCGAGCTGACGGCGAACGTGCCCGCGGCTTGTACGTGGAGAAAAGTCCCCGATCATGACATAGACTCCTGGCACGAGATGGGGGTTTCTGCTGAATCAACAGGCACAGTCCGTTTTATTGCCCTCGGAGCGAAATCTGTCTAGTGGAACATTGATCGTTGGATCGTGTAAGCGCTGCGAAAAAAGACTTGCGATTGAATTTGGACGTTGAAAACCCGCTGTCTCGCGATAGCGGACTTGCCCGCACGCGTCCCGCCAATGTGGTTTCGCTAAATTATAGCGCGCTGATAGTCGCGAGGCTCTCGCAGCGACGGGAGCGTTGGATATTTGAGTAGAAATTGGAGACGCGCGCACTCTTGATACGTGCGATAAAATGTGAAATATTTCTTCCAGGAACAAATAGCGCTGACCGAGTACAACAAAGCCTTGGAACTGCTGAGGGAGGACAAGCAGGAGGAAGCACTGGTCGTCTTCAGGGATCTCCTGGACACCGAGCTGCTGGACGAGGTGGAGAAGCCCGAAGTGCCGGACGGCAGATCCAGACCGATGTTGTCCCTGAAGTATTCCTGCTTTAAGAACATCGGCGCCATCCAGGCGGCCTGCGAGAACTACGAGGACGCGGTGGAGAATTATTGGAAGGCCGCGAATCTGGACGATTCCGACGTGACGCTGTGGCACAGGCTCGGCGCGTTAGCCATGAAGACCTCCAACCTGGAACTAGCCTGCTCGTCGTTCAAGCAAGGCCTGAAATGTAATTTCAATCACTGGCCGTGCCTGGACAATCTAATAACTGCCTTATACGCCGTTCCTGATTACATGAACTGTCTGTTGTATATTTCCGTGGCGTTGGAGAGGGATTCGAATTATGTGAAGGGTCTGGCCTTCCGTGACAAGATATTCAAAGACATCCCGTGTATGGAGGAATGCTACAAGTTGTACAATAGCGACTGGCACCTAGACCCGCCTTTATACGCCGAATACGATCATGTATTGGGCGACAAATTGTTAGCGGAGGCGAAGGAAGTTTCCAGAAAGTGGGCGGAAGTCTGCAAGGCGGAGTTTACGCCGAAAACCTTGCCGGAGTTGACTTTAAGGGTGCCCTTGACGAGCTGCACGTGGCTGGCCCTCGGAGAAAGCATACTAGACATGCATAGGTACATCACCGAGAACAATTTCAACTTTGTCAGTAAAATTGTATTATCGGTCCGAAAACCCGGTGACAAGAACGCGGCAAGCAATGAGGGGGAGGCTGTAGAAAACGCAGACATGGAAGTGGATCAGCAAAATGACTCGGTTCCGAACGGGGAGAGCGATATAAAAAAATCTGTCAAGATCGAGGCGGAAGATTGCGAGATGTCGAACGACAATCAGGTTTTTAATGCTGACACGGCGATGGAAATTGAGATCGAGGAGGACAAGAAGTCTTGCTCAAGCGACGTGCAAATAGTCGAAGATGAGGACACGTTGAGAATGTCCGACACGGACGGTCTGCAGTGTGAGGAACAAACTGAAACGAAGAACGTGGAGTCGGAGGAACAAGTGCACTCCGAGGCGGACGCGAATGTCGACAAGTTGGAAGGCGACAAAGTCACGGACGATGTTTACAGCGTAGATAATGGAATGCCTAATGAAAAGTCCAGTGACAAGGATAGCGATAAATCGAGCGATAAAGCTTCTGAGAAAGACACGGAGAAGGCAAGCGACGGGATATGCAAGACGGACGATAAGACTCATTCTGAGAAAGCCGAGGGAAAGGAGGAGGGACAGAAGGTGAAGAAAAGGCGCAGAAGTGCGCTGTGCTTCTTGCAGCAATGGGCTTGGAGTTGCAGCAGCATGAGACGATCCGCGAGAGTGAGGGGTTCGAACAGAAGAGAAGCGGAGAGGGATGATGTTCAGTTGGAGGAAACTCTTAGAAGATTGTTCCCTAGCACTCTGTTGTATGTACATTAAATACGTGTGTAGACGTAATTTGTTTAGAAACGTAAAATATACCTTCTCTGTTTTGCAGACCCGACACGATAAGATTGACCAAGGATGACGCTACTAAAAATCTCGACGATTCAATGGACACCATGGATATGTATCAACTGTTTGCGAATCAGGAAAAGAATAAAAATATGGAAACTCTCAAAAGCTCGGAAAGTTCTAAATCGCCAAGTCCTGACACAAGGTATTTGCCTGTTGTCAAATTTTTTGCTAATATAATAATATTAATATAATATTAATCTGTACAGTCAGCCACGGAAATACTTCGGATCAGAGGCAGAAACTGCCGATGTGGACGCATTTATAAACGAGCATAGCAGCAAAAGCAATTTAATGATAATTATTACCAAGTTTGCAGAATTGTTATGTACTAAATGGAACCAAGAATGGCCGAAAGGAATGTCAGATGTTTATCTACAAGCATATGCCTTTATGCGGTAGGTACGCAAGGATTAATTTTCCATGTTGTTAAAAACAAAAACTTGGAGTTAAAAATTGTTCTTCAGACAACATATTCCACATTTATCACCGTTTGATGAGGATGTCAATGGCCAAGTTTTGAAGTTGGACACCGAAACGACATTATTATTTGGCGAGCTTCATACGGACAGGTGGCTAGATAATAAACCGGATACCCTGCCTAATCCAACGTAAGGTCTCAATAATTGTGCCTTTATTATTGATAAAAATTGAGCTTTTTATATAGAAATAAAATCGTTAATTGCAGATTAGATAAACTTGGCACTGGAATGCCAGCAGAAGAATTAGGACACATAATATTTGCGAGTGTTAGACAGGATCTTTTAAATGAAGAGAATTTGTATACATTACTGAGAATTCTGTGGCTTAAAAGTAATATTTTTCTGTGCCAAGGTGATGTAGACATAGTCGTAGAAACTTTAGAACTGGTAAGAAAGTTTAATATTAAATTATTATTAAAATAATTATTGTTACAAACTGTAAATATCCATTTTTCAGTTGTTAAACCGTCTCCACGAAATGGAAAGTAAAAGCTTGAATCCATGTATTACGCTTTTAAATTGTAAGAATAATTCTCAAATTAGTGCCAAACTTGTAAAGAAGAAGCTTACGTCAATCCAGAGGTACTTTTTAAAAAGACTTGTATGAAATATTAACATACTATTATATGTGCGAAGACAGTGCATGTGTTAAAGTTGATACTGTAATATTTAATTTTTTATTATGTAGGGGTCAAAAATTGGGCGAAATTCAACATCTGTATGAAGAAAAGAAGTACGCAGAATTGTCTTGCATATTGCAAGATACTTTTAAATTTGCTAAACAGAGACCCAAACTGTTGGTAACTAACGAAAATATTGTCGACAGAGTTCGACAATTAAACATGTTACTTGACAGCTTATGGCAACTTCAACACTACGAAGTAATAACATAAGTAATATATGTGCATACATTGTTACGCAAAAAACGCTAGATTTTTAATAATATTGAATACTTTCAGGAATGTTATGTCTGGGCAGAGGCTTGTCTGAATGAATCGTGGCAAAATTACTTGAACTCCTCTGACGAAGCTGAACAGAAGAAGTGGACAAGTTCTGTTGTAACGGCACTTGAGAAATTAGAAGCTTGTACAATCGAAGTCAGTGTATTCGTTGGTAAGGTCACAATTTGAGCATTAACAACTTTTCTATAATTTTCACGCTAATTTCACGATTTATTATAATTTCAGTAAAATATTTGTCAGAGTCTCGTTTATCAAGATTGGTGCAAAATCTAGTTCACATTGTTTGTCATCAATTGGATGTACCAGAAACTGCTGTGGAGATGCCATTGGAGACTGTTCTACCTTGGATCCTGTTACACTACATTCTACAATAGTAAGTTTATCGAAGAATATGTCTGTGATTTCGTTATCACATACATTACATGAAACTGATTCGTTAACAGCAAAGAAGATAAGGAAAGAGCAAAGGTTGAGTCCACTTACAAAAGTAAATTGAACAGTTCTAATAACTCCGAATCGGATGACGAGGACGATGGTATTCCACCATCCATCATGATTTTATTCATTGCACATGAATTTATCGGCAGACATTCGTGGTGCTGTTTCAACGAAGCGAAACTTCTGTTCTTCATTATGAACCTTGTTATACCACAACTCGAAACTCCTCTGTTTGTCTCCATCAAGGACAGGCTCACGAAATATTTGGAACAGATATTCTTTTGTCTGTACGGTCATCCAAACAGGGTGAACAAAACGCGGCCGAAGTACCTTCAGGATCACGGAGTACCGCAAATGGAGTTAACCTGGGACGGAGCGCAGCTGCTGTTTGATTTTTATAAACCGAAACAACTACCAAACTTTCAATCTGCCAGAGTGCTTTCTATCAGCATGGATACAGAAATACTGCTTAAGAGAATAATCAGATTAGTTCCGCAGGAAAGCGATCCGAATCAAATAATAGACGAAATGACGGCATACATAATGGGCGCGAAAGATAAGATGCCGAGCGTAACAAAACTTTTGCCGCACGCGACATCCACTATTTACTACTTGTTGGGTGATTTTTACTTCAAAAACAATAAATGGGAACACGCGTGCCGGTATTACTTATTAGATCTGTGCTTATATCCAAAGGGATTAAATTCGTGGGCAGGTTTAGCTATGGCGACGGGCAGCATAATAGAGAATTGGTTAAACAGTTATAGACCTATGTAAGTATTGTTTTCTAAATTCCATCTCTTTATTCTTCATGTGTTATATATTTTTACCATACTTTGTGAAATTTTTAGAGGAAAGGATAAGTTTCTCAATAAGGCAAAAATAGCACAGTCGAGTTATCACCATGCCATCGAGCTTGCGCCTGGTCATTCTGTAATTTGGACAGAATACGGGAATTTCGTTTATATGGTTCATTCGTTTTGTTCGCGATTGCTCAAACAGGAGACCGACACGTTGAGTATGGAGAGATTTGAAATTTTGGAAACTAGAAAGGAAGAGATGCTGGAGATTGCGGATCAGTGCTTTGAATCTGCTAATCGAATATGTCAAACCATTGAAGAGCCAACCATACAGCACGATGAAAGATGGCTTTATCAATACATGCTTGGTAAAGTCGCAGAGAAAAAGAATCAGGATCCTCCTGTATTCTTGGAACATTACGCAAAGGTTAATCATCTTATTTATTACATCCTTTCTCCTTTTTTATTGACATTTATTTTTTTAATTTAAGCCCGCTGCAGACGATGCTATTTTTCCTGCTGGATTGCTTGCAATTTAGTAAATTACTAGGAATCCTGAATGCTGAGTGGTGCAATGATAGTAATTTACTAAATCGCAAACAATCCAGCAGGAAAAATAGCATCGTCTGCAGCGGGCTTTACTGATTATTATTACGATTTAATTTCAGGCTAGTGAATTGTTATATGAGAACAACGCTCAATATCCACGTAGAATAAGCCACAAGAGTCCACAAAATCTATCTATAGAGGCCCTAGAAGTTCATTATCGCATTCATGCTAGTATATTGAAGTATTTAGAACAACACGAGGGAAAACCACTGAAGAAATCATTAGGTCAGTTATTCCATTGGCATCTTAAAAACTGCTCCGAAGGGTCCTTTATGAAGTACCAGCCCAAACTTAACGACAAGAAAAAAGAAGAGAATGATATTGAAAAAAGTGTGTCGAAGGAACTCGACAGCACAGCCGATACAGATAAAAATGTAGCAGTATGTCAACGCTCAAATAGTATTGAAGAGATAGAAATTGTAGATAAGTCAAACAAAATTTCTGATACTAAGTCTACAGAGCTAGGAAAGTCGGAGAGTCGTAAGAGATTTCCTGATGAACTGTTACATGACAATACGAAGAGAATAAAATTAAGTAGCGTTTCGCACTTACAATTAATGCAGGACGTCGTAGCCTTAATAGATGATTTGATTACTAAAGTTTGCGATATGGTGTCGCAAAAGGAGAAAACGAGCGATGACATAATGATCATATCTAGTGATGAAAGTAATGAATCAAAATTACAAAAGAAGAAGCTGGAGAACAGGAGTGCTGATAAAACAAAGCTGCAGGCGAAAACGGAGGAGAATAAGAAAAGTTCAGCAAATATATTGGCAGTTGATTCCGAACGTAAGACTGACGATGTACAGGATTTAATGGATGCTCTCATGAAACAGGCAATGGAAATTAGTCAGGAAACCCAGCAGTCTTCAGCGGATGACGAGGATACCAGGAGATTTGATGGCAAGTGGTTGCAGAACGAAGACTTGCAAACTACTGTAAGTTTGTGACATGCTTCAATTTATTTGACCAATATACACATAAATTTTTAATATTAATTGATGTGTGCAATTCAATTCAACGTATAGGAAAAAGAAAATAAGGACAAGATAGGAGAGAGGAGAAAAATGCAGGGCAATGCGAATGAAGAAATGACTTTAAGTAGAAGAGGCTCTCAAGAAAGCACCACGACTACGCAAACCACAACTACGACTACGGAGACAAATAATTCGAGCTCTAGCAGTAGCGAGGAATCTAGTAGTAGCGACGATAGTTCCGATAGCGATAGCTCTAGCGATAGTGATAGTGAATCTGTTGACAGCGACCCGGACAAAAAGAAGAAGGATTCTGAGAATGTTAAAGATGGTAAAGTATACTATTGCTCATTCTTATAATTTCCAAGTGTCACATTTTATTTGTGTACAAAAATTGTAATTTACATTTATTTATATTTTCAATTCTAGAGGAACAGATGCCAGAAGAAGAAGTAGCGACATTAATTGCGTATTGCTTAGCTGGCTTGGAGCAGTGTGTATTAAGGTTCGCGGAACATCACAAGTCATTTTATAGACTTTCACACTTCTTTTTTAATAACAAAAAGGCGAAGAATACCGTGAAATGTAAGGATCTCTTACTAGGGACGTATACTTGTCAGTTCTATCCCGGACAAACTTTTCAAGGACTTTTTGCCGAGAGAAGAAGTACCAACTTTTTTAATGTAAGTATTCTTCAAAGTCTTATACTTGTATTCTTTACCTTTCTGATATATTAAATATTAAATAAAATATATACACATATAATACAGAAAGAAATTAAAAGTTAATTTAGAATAATGCGATAATGATCTATCAATTTAAGTCACTATACTCAATATAAATTATTTTGAAAGAGTTTTTAATAATAAACGTTTAAATGCAGCTTTATCGAAATATTTTATAACTTTTGCATTACGTATTCGGCTGTCAGAATTGATCAAAGCTGAACCTCTTGCGTCACCAACAAGTACTGGAGTTAAATTAGTTTCAAAAGATTGCATTATCATGTCTGGTTGTAACGCAATTGCCATGGCGATACCATCCGCTGGCTCCCATATATTTCCTTTTTCTAAAACCTTTCTTTCAGCTTTGTACAAAAAGCTTGCGATCGAATTATCCAAATTATTGAAAAGGCGTCTATACTCATCCTGTTAAAATAAAGTTCCATTATTTGAAGATCAGTACAAGACTCGAGTGCAAATATATTTGTAGATATTATGATATATTACCATTGAGAAGGCGTGAGAGTTTACTGTGTCTATTGGAAGTATAATACTAGGTTTATTGGTATTATTCAACACAATCCAATTACTTTCTGGATCTTGTTTAAAATTAAATTCAATTCTTTTGCTCTTGACGCTTGCGCCCATCATGATGTGTTGCTTGACTAAATGTAGAAAATGAGGTTCTAATGCAATTGCTGTAGCAACTGTTGTTAAAGGTCCAAGAGTGATTACAGTTATTTCACCTAAAAATAACAAAAAATTAGATATTTACAACATACGTATTAAATTAATAGAGATCTCATAAAGCTAGTACTGCGAGCAGTTTCTTAAAAATCAAAGTAATTGTACCTGGGTATTGTCTCACCAAGTCTACGAGCGCTACAGAAGCATGTTTCGATCTGTCGATCTTTGCAGTTATGTTTTGGGTAAAATTAAAATCTCCAAATCCGTCGTTGCCAAAGTAATAGTCAGTTTCATATTTATTTATTAGTGGTTTTTGAGGTCCAGCGTATACGGGTATCTGCCAAGTTTTGCAAAAATAATTATAATTACGTACTGTACGAGATTTTTAAATATTGTAAACTTAAAAAAAACCTGAATATATATTTAAAAATATTGGGTTGTTAAATACTCACATTTCTATTAGCAACTGTTAAGATTTTTAATAAATTCTTTTCTACGTTTGTCAAATTCGTATTGCCATATGTGGCAGTTATGGCTAGAATTTCGATTTCACGAGTTTTAGCCTCGTGCATGACAGCCAACATGACTGCTAGAGCATCATCTCCTCCAGGATCAGCATCTATCACCATTTTTCTTGGTCTAGTGTCGTGCCTTTTACTGTTTCACAAAAAATATGTTTGTATTTATTCCGTAAAAACTCATCAAATTATCAATTATGAAATAACCATTTCATTATTACCTGAAGACAAAACACAATAGATACAGCATTATCATGATTTTAGATACAGTACACATTAAAACCATCTTTCTTTATCTGGTAAAACCTGTAATTATGTATAAAATTAATGAATAGGCTCCAATATTGAAAATTAAAAGATATTAATTTAACAAATTGAAGGAAGACCTAATGTGAGTCGAAACGCCTTTAAGTACCATTTTTTTTTAAAGACAATTGTGACAATAAATGTCACAAAATTCAAGAGAAATAAATGGTGTGATAAGAAAAAGTTGATCAGATTAAAACTTACAATTAGAAGAATATTAACATAAAGTGTGACTTTAACAATCTTCCCGTCTCTTGGGAAAATTAATTAACGTCCAAACTTAAAGATACAAAGAAGGAAAGACAGGTGACAGCCATTACGGAATGACTGCATATAATTTAAAGTGACCGAACAATTAAACGATTGTTGAGTGTAAATAAAAGAAAAGAGGAGAGGGCATGAGACAGTCATTTGCCAAATAAAGGTTGCCAAAAGAAAAGTATACGAGTAAAAACAGGACTAGAAGCATAAAAAATTACTAGACATTAAGAACAATGGGAGCTAAACAACGGATATTCAGTGAAGTAATATACTAACAATAAGAAGCGCGCATACGATGATTCTTAACATTAAACGTTTCGATCATTGCCTTTAATGTCTAATCTTTTTTAATGTTATAATTGTCGAAGCAAATACTTTCTTTCCATATCATTGACATGACATTCAGACAAATATTCTTTAAAAATAATGTTTGTTTTACAGGGGGTGTGGCATATTCCAATCAATGAAATTGACAGGCCTGGAAGCTTCGCTTCACACATGTCGAAATGCGTGACGTTACTCATGCAGGTGTTGAAAGAAAGCAATGATAGCCGAATGTTAATGCAACTATGCATACAGCTCGGAAAGATTCCTGATTCAGACAAGTAAGATAGATTTAGAACGTATTATTAGTTCTTTTGCTAATGAATGCAATATAACAAGACAGGTTTATGAGAGAATAGGAGATGGATGATGTAATATGCAATCTTTTCCCGCACTTAGGAAATACTTACGTGATTCTGAAAGAGAACAATTATCTCGCCAAGCTCTGACACTTTGTCAACAGTCGCTCAGGAGCAGAGTTCAGACGATGGGCCCGATAAGCACAATTGATAGCGTGCACCTCATTAGAACGGACGCTAGAACACAAGTATTACTTGACGTACACGAGACATATCAACTTGTCCAGAAACATTTTCAAGGCAAAGATTCGACTATACAAGCATTTGCAACGTTATTGACAGATACATACAAAATGTACATAGGCAATAAAGTAAGTGGGTAAATCCGGGAAAAGATATCCTTTTGTCAATAATCACAGGCTGTCGGAAATATATACATGTAGCTTCTTGGGTCTTATCTCTTATCGGATCTTATCTTGCTCCTTGCCAGGTGTTTTTATATATATTTGCACAACTGATTTCATAACACTTTACTGGCAACAACACAATAATGTATTTACTGAGTAAATAAAAAAATATGTTCTTCAATAATGTAACACTATTACAGGTTATATTATGTCGTTAAATATTACGTTACGTTATTGAAAACCGGCTCTTTTTTTTCAGAGTGTTAAACGATTATACATTGTTCGTTATAAGCTATCATTTTTTACTCGTATTTATGACAATTATCAAATGACAGTCGCAATTTCAAATGCTAACAAATGTACGTTTATTGCTTTATAGAACTTGGAAGGAAACGTTTTGGAGATCGCTATTAAATGTTGTCAACGTCAGATACAAGCGAACAAAATTGCCTCTATTAGCAGCAACAATAGCTCTCACGTGCCACCTCAGATTGCGTCTACTATCTCGGTAAATAACCGCCGTCTCATTATCACAATTGTCATGTGTAATGGGATTATTACCGAATTAATATTTTTTAATTTGTCGCAGACGCCCGTGCCACAAGTACCAGTGAACTCGACGTCCCCGCAAACGTTGCAGAATCGCAAACCGCATAGAAATCTAACATCCACTGGACGTCCGAGAGGACGTCCGCCTAATGTTAACAAATACTTGCAACACGCTTTGCAACAAAGTGGCAACGTGATGGGTCAGTTTAATCCCAAGAGTAATTTTTCGAATTATCTGGGCACATCCGGACCGAACCGTTCTATGATAAATCCTTATTTCATGAGTCCGCTGGTCGATACGAACATGTTATCGGCTATACTTGCCAGCGGACTGAGCAGCAATATAATGGATCCCCTAACGGCTATGACCTACCTAAATCAAGTAGGGAGTTATCAAGACATTCTTAGACAGTATCAGAACTTATCGTCATTGACCAATCTCGCTAGCGGCTTAAATAATCCCGGTACTACTATGACCAACATCAGTAATGCTTCGACAATGAGTACATCAAGCTCTAGTATCAATGCTCCGAGTAACATCGCTAATTTAAACAATCTAAAAGGTTCTTTAGATCCTATGACAGCGTCGGTGCAACAATTATTGAGTTTGAGCAATTCTACAGTGTCAACTTCGCGACCGACACCCATGTACCATCAAACAGCCGCCAAGACTAACACGACTATGTCATTGACGAAAGACCGACCTAGCATATCTATAACGCCGGTTACCACCTCGATGAGCCAGCAGCCTCATCACAAGACGAAGCAGCTTGGTAAGCAGCCGAGCTCGCAAACCGAACCGGTATTGCCCGTCCACATTCCCAAATCGCTTCATATATCGCCAACGAAACCGGTATTACACTCGTCCAACGCGACGACGCAAGTGTCTCTGCTCAAGCCATCCATTATTCAGCAAGTGAAAAACAGTCCGCCGAAACAGATGAGCGCGCCGCAGATACGGGTTTCGAAATCACTGACGGAGCCGCAGCCGGCGCACAATCCGTCGTTGTCGCACTCGCCTTTGAAGAACAGCGGTGGTACCGTGACGACAAATCCGGTCGCGGCCATGCCGCACGTCGCCCACACGTCCATGGGCGCGCCGGTGATGATATCAAAGCAGCAGCAGGCATTGCCCATGAACTTACCTAACGTATCACGTTCCGGTACGTCGCTGCAGCACAAATTACTGTCGAAGAAGAACCCCCAGCGACCTTACTCGGCGCAGACGAACGTGCAGAATCATCCCGTGAGGAAGGTGAAATCGGGGGCCAAGACGACGGCCATGCCAGTGCCGATATCTGGCAATTTTCCAAATCTATTAAACGCGATACCACCGACAGTTACCTCCGCGATGTCGCAATCGCCTTTCATACCTCCGGAATTAAGCGGCATCTCGGTAAGCCCCGTTACTTCGCAGTCCGGTATCAAAGCGGCGACGGCGGCGAGCGCTAAATATCACAGCTACAAGAAATCCATCAGCAAGCCGAAACCGCCGGCGACGTCGGCGTTGGAGGTGCCGAGCTCGTTGCCGGCTTCATTCCCTCCCGGCAGCTCGGTCGAGGCACTCTCGATGCTGTCGCAATTACAACAGCACTCGCACCTGGAGATAATACCGCAGCAGAAGGCGCCGTTGAAGCCTACCATTGATTACTCGAAAACCCTGCCATCCTCCGTGAGTGTAGTGCCGTCGAAGGTCCCAGAGACATTGAGGTCGTCAGCCGCCGCTGATTGTATGACCATGTATGATATATCTAGGGCAAAAACCGCTAGTGTTTCCAACAAAAAACCACAGGATAAACTCCTTGCTGATAATGTCGAAATTATAACGTTGGACGATTAAGAATCACTCAAGTAAGCGACGGTTTATTTTGCGCAATTGTTCTCTTTTCCTTTTAAGCATCATCTGTAACGTTATCTTACTTGCTAACTTTACAAGTTGTTAATTAACTCGTTGCCTTGAAATGATATTCACGCAACTGCAATTGTATTTCAGTAGAAAATAACATTGTGTAAAGTTCTTTTACCGCATTCGCTATGTTACATTCGCCATGTTATTTTGTATAAGCTCGGCTTCGGGTTATTACAGTGCAAAAATCAGTTGTATGTAAAATCTCTCAAATTCCAATGCAACGAATTGATATGATTAATTTATATAATATATTAAATTTGTTTTTCTTTAAAATTTTTATGTTAGCGATAAACTAGAATTATTTGTGAGGAAAGTATTCAGATCTTTATATATATGAGTTTTGCTTTATTGTAAGATTTTTTGTTACAATATATAAAGATAACGTCCAATTATTTTCTAACGTTTAAGGCCCGGTTTTTGCCAAACGTCGCTTAACTGTAATCTTAGTTTAATTAACGTTTGTTTCTTTCTAAAGTAAAGGCTGATCTACAACGTCTCCTTTGCGTCTAGAAACATTCTATTTCCTAGCCAATAAATACGCTTACAAAATTTGGGCAAGTTGATAAATTGTGCATTATACATTGTACAATCGCAAATTGTCGACAAGTTTGTTAAGCGTTTTGAATTATTTACATAAAATAGAATTATCTAAAGTGTTTTTTGTCGACCCAACTGGCAGGAAACTTTATTCGTGAATCTTACATCCACGAAGTTTTGACCATCCGGATTGTGTTCCTTATCAAGTGATTGGTAATAGTTAAAATTCTTATTGCGAAAAATATTACCCCAATAAGAATTTTAACTATTACCAATCACTTGATAAGGACCACAATCCGGATGGTCAAAACTTCGTGGATGTAAGTTTCCTGCCAGTTGGGTCGACAAAAAACACTTTAGATAATGTTAACTATTTACTGGCGACATAAATCTCTTATCTCCGTCATAAAATAGAATGTTTCTGGATGCAGAAAGCACATTGTAGATTAGGCTTCACAGTTGGAAAGAGACAAAGAACGAATTAAGCTAAGCTTAAAGTTAAACAACGTTGGTGAAACCGGGCCTTAATTAGTCATGTTTAATTATACTAGTATATATGTATACAAAAATTCTAAGAAACATAAATTGATATATCAAAATTGTTTGTCTTTTCCAGATTTATCTTATAACTCTTACAATTAGAAGGTACGGTCAAACTTGATTTCTTTTAACGTAATTAATCATAAGATATTAAATTGAGATAGCTAATTCGAGAGAGCTTTATCGTTCAATTTTCAAGTTTCAATTACGTACATATTTCCCATTAATTAAAAGTATAATTTAATTGATTATTATGTTCACAGATGCGAAATGACGCGTTGCTTTTTTCACTAATTCTACTAAAGCATTTTTGCACAAGGAAACGTTATTTTTCTACCGTATATACTTGATAATGATGACGCTTTTCTACGTGTACAATAATCTAGTGTAATTAGCTTCAGTAAATTTGAACGTTTTTAAACGTTTGTGTGTGCGTGTGTATATATGTGCGTATGTATGCCCGCGCGTGTATGTGTGCGTGTGTGTAATTTACCTCTGATATTAAAAGGACATATGAATCTAATTCTAAGAAGTGTCTTCTCTTGTTGCTGTCTTGTTTCATACTGTTCTTTTTGACATAAATTTGGTATATCTAAAACGAAAATTATTTCAGGATAAGTTAGTAATACTTAGTTCGTCGTAATAAGTACATCAAAGTATTACTTACACAATTTCTTATCTGACTAAGAAAGAAAAACATATTCTTTAAGCAGTGTTAAAATTTTTTATTCAATATAAAATTTATGAATACACATAAATTTTCACAAGGTGTAAACGTGTCTTAAGATCTATCTTTTATTAACAATTTTACTTTCTTAATCCATTTTCACGAACGAATTCGCGAGAGTTCCGCGAGTTTTTAAGCCTTTCACCGCGAATACCGCACCCGCGTCAGGAGTCAGTTCTCGTTGCTCCGCAGTTAAATTATAGCCCGACGTGGTCACGTACAAAGTATCCAGAAGCGGACCGCCGAACGTGACGCTGGTTACATTGTCAGCCGGAATCTTAACTTTGCGCATTACTGCTCCTGTTTTTGGATCCACCTGAATGACCTAGATAAACACATTCATAAAAACTTTTATGGATTACAAGATTTCATGGATCTTTTATGGATGTCAGGACTAATTGGCTCCAGTTTCACTGCAGGTGGTACTGTTTTCAAGAAATAATTTTTCCTTTAATAGAAGTTACTTATCATAAAATTTTATTATAGTATGTAGAGGAGAGTTCTCTATTATGAGATAGTTCCACTAAACAGATTTCACTCCGAGGGCAATAAATTCATGGTGGAACCAACAGATGACGCCTATTAATTTAGCAGGAACTCCGCTATCTCATATTAGAAGCCTCTCATAATAGGGGACATATATATATATATATATAATTTGGAATTTTCGGTTATATTATAAACAATAATAATCTTTAACTCTGTCGCTTTATAAACTTACATGAGATCCGCCAAATAGTGCTATCCAAAGATTGCCATCGGTATCTATGGTCATTCCATCGGGAACCCCTTTGAGATCAGTGTTGTTAAGATCAAACACAATCCTCCTGTTAGCTAAAACATGAAAGCTATAAGCACGTACACTCCCTAAATTCTATCTCTGAATCTTATGCCTCACGACTACTTGAATGTTTAGTTTCATGCAATATACACTTGCACACTTTCTTACAGCACAAGTTTGAATGACGAACGTGATTAAATCTTACATATTTTCCCGAGATTCGGATCGTAATCATAGGCCGCAACTTGGCGCGTAGGTGAGTCAATATAATAGAAAGTGTCATCTTTGCTATTCCACGCCAATCCGTTACTTATCGTAACGGGCGATATTTCCTTTTCAGGTTTAAGATTGTCGTCAACGCGGTACAACGATCCTAGATCGGGAGGCGCCACTCCATTGACCTCGATGCCCATAGTACCTGTGGAAAATGTTAGTCGTTACAGGTGACAAATCACACTTCTACAAATCGCGGAGTTTTCAGCCCCTACCGAGCCAAAATCTTCCGGTTGAGTCCACCTTGCCATCGTTGATCCTTGTCTCAGCCTGAGGAGGCTCGAGCGAGCATAGCATTTTGACCTTCGGCTCCGAATCATCCTCGTCTCCGTTCCACTTCACGAGAACAAGATCTTTTCCCACACCTGCTACAAGTTCATCATTCGAGTCGTCCACTGGTATGACAACTCCAACGGTCCCGTTTGCTGGAAGAGCATTGTGGAGCTTCTTATCAATTCACCGATAGTAACCCGGAGGAAAAAAGCTATATGTCTAATTGTATCAAAAATGTCAGGTATGATCAAATTTGTTCTGATTATATCCAAATTTTAATGCATCCATTTATAAGTATATCACAGCAGATGTCAGATATAATCAGATACTTGTACAGTTTTATTAGACTTTGATATACTTATAAATGGATGCATTAAAAATTGGATATAATCTGATGAAATTTTCATCATATCTGACATTATTTGATACAATAAGATAAAACTGAATACATAGCTTCCCCCAGTGAGAAATAATTCGTCGATCGATGTCGAAACGATGTCGAAACGATGTCGAGTCGACGTCAATTTGATGGTGTCGACATCGTTTCGACATCGGTCGACGAATCATTTCTCACTGGGCTTTTTCCCTGGGAATGCTCTAACGCTCGTGAAGAGGCAACGCCACGGTCTTACCTATGTATGCACTGGTCACAACACCCGTTGCGATATCTAGCCGGCGGATGTACTGATTCTGTATGTCAACGAAGAACAACTTTTGGGTACGATGGTCCCAGTGGGGACCCTCGGAGAGGCCGTAAGCAGCTGTCACCTTATCGACGGTCACTTGCCTGCAATTGGATCACGGTACTGGCATTACACATTCCCCAGGGAAAATGAAAAGTCAAGACGATGCCAAATTTATGTCACAGTTTGGTCAATATGACATCAAACTGACGTCGCCTTGACTTTTAATTTTTCCCTGGGTTTTGCAAAACCTGATAAGCAAAATTTCTTGTAAAACATTTTGTAAATTTGATTGTCAGTGGGTCAGTTACGCATTGCTAAACATGCATCGGGGATCACATCCTTCATTTATGTACATTACCGTTTGGAAGCTCGCTGCTTACAATAGCGCGGAAAGCGTCGTTACATCTTTCTTGGACGCATAATGACGGCAAAGATAGAATGACGCTTTTAGCGCTGATTGTAATAGCGAGCTCGCGAACGCATCCTCTGTAGGTTTCAGTATCGCCCTCGAACGTCCCAATCAATGGAAACCATCATTGCATTGATATCAAACATCTTGTAAAACACAAAGCGTCGTCTACAATGCGTGAAGTAAGCTTGGAGTAAGGAATAAGAGAGATAACTATATGATACTCTGCGCCCGAAGCGAAACAGCTGTTCGCCGCCGAACGCAGAAAGTGTAGCCGGTTATTCAAACCAAATCTCTCGACGAAAAGGAGAAACGGAGAGAACAAGAAGCGCGATTAAAAGGAACAGACGCGCGTCTACTTGGTTTCACGCGCTGCGTTCCACTTTTTGCACTCCGCACTTTTATCTTCGCATTCGCCACGTTTTCACTACGAGAAAGAAGTGCGGAGAGAAAGGCGGGTCTAGCGGCGAAGCAAATTACGTAACGCGCCGATATTTACGTAGTCATTGTCCCCGGGAAGCGTCCGTTTCGGTCAGAACAGCCGAAACCGCTGGCGAGGAGGCGGCCAACAGTGCCTCGTGTCGAAGACTGTGCAGCGAGTAGATCGGGCTCGCGCGGGGTCGGTTAATCGATCCAATTGTCTCTAATGACTGCCGATCGTCCCGACGACGACGAGACTGAGCGGCAGCCAAACACCGTGGCGGCTATTTAACGCCAAAGATAAAATTGCGCCGATAAAACCACATGTTTCCTGCCAAAGGGTTATCGAATGCGCGTCGCTTCGCGTGGCTCCTCGATTGTAAAATTGACTCGAATCGGCGAACTTGGAAGATTTCACTTCGTCAATTCGACCAGATGACTCGCAGCAAAATTAATAATTGTATATCTGTCTTAACGAGAGGCCGGCAGGCTTTGCTCGATAAGCTTTGACCAGAGTCACCTTTGCGTCCATTTCTACCGATGTGAATTTACTTTAATCTCGGTGTTAACTTCAGACAAATAGCATAAGTGATTGTTGGAAACGCGCAAATTACTTTTTTTTTATAAGTTCTTTACTAATCAGCGTAAACTGTTTGAAATGAGCTGCGTTTCTCTCCAGATTGCAAATTCTTACCCGGTAAAAAATTGTTCATGCAGGAGCATGCATAAATGTATAAAATTATGCATCAAATATGTCCATACATATTTTTACAGTGTATTTCCGTATAATTTTATACAACTCTACACAATTCTGTACAATTGTATATAGCTTTATACATGCTTTTATATGAAAAATATATAGAGATATACAAGGTAGAAATATGTATGGACACATTTGATGCATAATTTTATGTATTTATGCATACTCGTGCGTAAAACATTTTTTTACCGGGTATGGAGCACAAAAAGAATTCTTTTGGTCTCTCTGTGGTTTCTCCGCTGTCTAAGATTACTTTTTATCTTTCTAGTTCTAAGAATTAGAAAAAAGATAAGTTAAACCGCAGTTTAAAATAATCTGCACTCATAAAAGTGGAGATTATACATTGGTTTACAAATAACGATTGTACATCGCAAGCATACGTGTATTTTCACATGGGAACATTAGACGAATTTAAATAAAAAATTCGCAACGGAGAATATTTTCCAGGGATCGAAACATCGGAGACGCATTAAATGAAACTCGCGTGTGGTATTCGCGTTTTATTTTAAGAAGATTATGCAACATTTGTTTGTATGTTTCCTCTCCTTCCGCGAGACCCAGTGAGAAATGACTCCACTATAGTAGCACAGTGCATTGGCTAAACATTGGCCCAATACAACGAAAATTGGGCCAATGTTTAACCAATGTCTGGTCAATGCATCGTGCTACTTGGAACGAAAAGTAATGTCTTTTCGGTCGCTGCGACACTTAAGCAAACAACGTTATTCCATATAAGATATGAAGTGTCCTGTTTAAAATCTTTGCAGTTGTGAATAATGTTGATTTAACGCAACCGACAATTTAATTTCAATATTATAAATATTCGAAAAGGGACATTAATTATTTTTACATCTTTAAATGACTTCTCTAATCTACCAACCAATAAATTAATTGTTAGTTAATTACTTATTTAATTTGTTTATTTGTTTACATGTCTGATTACAGATAGTGTCCTGTATCATTGAACAGCCCAGCTTTCGTTTCTCATTGTTTTGACGAGAGAAAATGTCGCATGTCTACTTAATTAATACTTGGCGCGTTAATACCGGCTTCCTCTTGCCAATATGTGTGCGTGGTACTTCAATTTGTGGATGCAATGTCCTTTCACTTACCCGCTGACGAAGGCGACGAGAACGCACACTGGGAACACGTATTTACCAATTGTCCTTCTCATAACGTTGTATTCTGTCGCACTGCGATTGGAAAGGCACGCTCTTTCAGGGTAGAGGCTGAAAAGAGTAAATAAAACCCAAACGCACCTGCTTACTTCTTATATATATGAGCGCTCCTACCTTCGCCAAAGCGATCGAAATCGACGGAGGAGTTTCGCGTAGCTTCGCCACGACGAGTCAGCATTAGAGTGGGGCGAAAAATTTTCCGAAAATTACACAATTGACACGACGCTGTCTTTTTTTCTATGCACAATATATCTATCGTCGACATCCTGAAGAAATGATATTAAAAAGTAAAATATAAAAAGTCTAGAAGTACATGAAACTTTTTTTCAGATAAAAATTACTTGAGCACACCAAAGGGACTCACTGACACGCAAGAAGATGCCAAGAACTAAAAATATTTATACACCAATTTAGGAAATTTTGAATGCGACGCGCCGAAGATATTAATGAAGTTCAAAATTATTTCTGCTCGGAACAACGCATTTTTACATAGCAACTTTTCCACGTTGTTTTATTGCACAATGAACAACGTTTTTGAGCCATTAATGGTGAGTACAGGCATAGATAAAGTAAATAATATTGTAGCGACGTTAATGATAATAATGATAGATAGCATTAAACGAGAAAAATTACTTCGCTCCATTTTATTCTTTTAAACTTTGACGTCATAGTCACGTCATTTAATAATGCGTGAAAGATGAAAAAATTTGCGTCTTTTTTTCTATGCACAATATATCTATCGTCGGCATCCTGAAGAAATGATATTAAAAAGTAAAATATAAAAAGTCTAGAAGTACATGAAACTTTTTTCAGATAAAAATTACTTGAGCACACCAAACGGACTCACTGACACGCAAGAAGATGCTAGGAACTAAAAATATTTATACACCAATTTAGGAAATTTTGAATGCGACGCGCCGAAGATATTAATGAAGTTCAAAATTATTTCTGCTCGGAACAACGCATTTTTACATAGCAACTTTTCCACGCTGTTTTATTGCACAATGAACAACGTTTTTGAGCCATTAATGGTGAGTACAGGCATAGATAAAGTAAATAATATTGTAGCGACGTTAATGATAATAATGATAGATAACATTAAACGAGGAAAATTACTTCGCTCCATTTTATTCTGTTAAACTTTGACGTCATAGTCACGTCATTTAATAATGCGTGAAAGATGAAAAAATTTGCGTCTTTTTTTCTATGCACAATATATCTATCGTCGGCATCCTGAAGAAATGATATTAAAAAGTAAAATATAAAAAGTCTAGAAGTACATGAAACTTTTTTTCAGATAAAAATTACTTGAGCACACCAAAGGGACTCACTGACACGCAAGAAGATGCCAAGAACTAAAAATATTTATACACCAATTTAGGAAATTTTGAATGCGAAGATATTAATGAAGTTCAAAATTATTTCTGCTCGGAACAACGCATTTTTACATAGCAACTTTTCCACGCTGTTTTATTGCCAATGAACAACGTTTTTGAGCCATTAATGGTGAATACAGGCATAGATAAAGTAGATGATATTGTAGCGACATTAATGATAATAGCGATAGATAGCATCGAACGAAGAAAATTACTTCGCTCCATTTTATTCTTTTAATCTTTGACGTAGTCACGTCATTTAATAATGTGTGAAAAATGGAATACTTCAATGATCAATAGTACTTAACACCGCTGCGTCGTACACGTTGCGATAACAATCTTTGTCAGAAAAGGAACTGCGGATACTGATATTTATTGATACGTTCATTTGTGAAGATGTATCGTACAAGTTTTTTTGCGACAGAGCAGAATTATAGACGAGTTTTATATGTATTTTATATAAACACATTTGTACAGATATAATACATGATTTTAATATGATTTATTGGATTATTAAAGGTGAACTTATACATTCTTTCGAATAGGAAATGCTTTTGCAGAAACAGAAATAACGGTTAGCAGTAAGGAAACAGCTGAAGCATTATTGAATTACATGAGACGTTATATGTATGTATCTGAATATTCAAATCAGCTCGCATTAGGTTTGTGCAAGTTAACATTAGACAAAATGAAGAACATCGAATGCGTCATGTTTGTTCTACTAAAATTGACAATTTTATAAAACATACGTATCTGATATTATCAAGAACAAAACTTCAAATGTAGCGGTTAAATTATGAGCTACTTGACGATGTTAGTTCAATCATATACAATGAAATCACATTTTTCCACAAATGAGCACAGAATTGAACGTTTCGGCCTAACTTAGTGTCATTCATAATTTAACATTCACAGAAACAAGGAGCCACGATAAATGAATCCAAATTCTTTGTTCAAAATAACAATGTGCCAAGTTAAGATTTCACATTGCAATCAGCTGTGCATGGAAACCGGCAATATAATCCAAAAAACAAAGGAAGAAATAGAATATTAGATAAATTTGTTTATAAATATCCGATAATAAGATTAATGATATACTCGTGTGCCTTAATATTGAAGGCGTTATAAATACAATTCTCCGAAATGTATGCGCGTCTATGTATGTAAATGAAAGCGAGATAACGAAAGTGATGAATTAGTCGATTGTAACAGGTCGTTTGTTACAAGTTTCTGCAGAAAATATATGAGCCTTGACCGACATACACGGATATTCAGTCAGGCGAGCGCTAGAGGAAAACAAGGTAGTAAATTACGTGATTTACACTTGACGTACAAATTTCACTGTAAGTGTCGTGCAAACTGCGGCGCGTACACTTTTTTAAATATACAGGGTGTCACATTTTAAGTAATCCACGCAAATATCTCCAAAAATATGTATCTTTCATATTTTTGGAGATATTTGCGTGGATTATTTAAAATGAGACGCCCTGCACAATTGCAGAGCATATTATGCAAATTATGGAGACTTCGAAAAATGTTACTATTCTTAATTTTAACGACGGTCAGCTCGGTTTCATAATTCTTTTATTTTCGAACAATATCAAATAAAGTGAGAAAACGAAAGAAAACATTTTAATTAACAATGATAATCATAATAACGGTACTTGGAGTAGTTTTATTGTACTATGTTAGTCACAAGATGTAATACTATACACTGTTTCGTCGCACTAAAAGTCGAGTGACATTATACAATTTCTTATTCACGCGAAGCGATTAAACAAATAATAAAACGAACGTCAGCGAGGCGTCGAATTAAAAATAGGTGTCGAACAGGTCGTCTCTGCACATCAAAGAAAAGTGAGACTTTTCTTTAATAAATACATGCATCTATCTTCTTCAAGAGATCTTTCTCTTCACGGCTAAATTCGGCGTTTGCAAACCGGCGCGACATATTCTCGAGCCTGCAGTCATGCAACCCGTCGTGCATCGCTGTTTAAAGTGATAACGTAGTAGAAGACGAAGAATTATTTATCCCGAGGGCCATCTCTCACGGCAATGTTACCCAGAGTCGATGCGAACACGTAACGTTATTACCGACCGGCGCGCCGCGCCACCTGGCGCCGGGCGGCGGAGGCGCGTGCGGACGCGCGTCGGCCAACATCATCAGGTCACGTGACACTGGCATATTGATACGTGTCGGCGGGGTGAGCCACGACTCCGCTACGCTCTGCCAGTCGTGCATACGCGGCCGCGTTCGTGCGCGCTTGATGAGTGGGTACTTGGCGACGGTGTCGTGTCTCGGGATCCTGTGAGGGAAGGTCACTCGATCCGCGCCGTTCAGGACAGCCGTGTCGACGCCGACAAGATGGGATGTGAGTATGCCCGGCCGCTCGCAAGTCAGAAATTAAGGGCCGCCGTGCCGCGGACTCGCGCCCGCCGCCAACCTCTTTCTCGCAAGCCGCGCGCGTAACCTCCTCGCGGCAGCATATTGCTGGCGGCGCGAGTCAGCGCTGACACGCGCGCACCCGGGCGCCGCTTAACCGCTCCTCTCCCCTTCTGCTTTCAGTCAAATTTCTCGAGGTGATCAAGCCGTTCTGCAGTATACTGCCGGAAATAGCGAAGCCGCAACGTAAGGTGAGTCCCACGCGCGCGACGTAGCGCGGTCTATTTCCGTCTCTCTCTCGTATTTACAGTTTCGCGTACCGTTTTTCCTAAATTCCTGAATCGGCCCCCGGCCGCGCGCAAACACGAGACGAGACGTTCCTTACCATCTGTTTATGACGCGCGTCCGTCGCGCTGATACAGCGTAGATTGAAGCTGTAATTTTCTTTGTTCTCTTTCTCGTGCTTCAACGTTCGCATATCCACGGTATTTTAATCAATCTTAATCGTGATATTAAGGAGATGGAGTCACGCTTCTGTTGTCTCTCCACAGATTCAGTTCAGGGAAAAGGTACTATGGACGGCGATCACGTTGTTTATCTTCTTAGTATGCTGCCAGGTGAGTTAATGGACCTTTAATGTCGCTTGGGAAAAGTAATGCGCAAAATTAAGTACGAACACGTAATACTTTTAGATTCCGTTGTTTGGCATCATGTCTTCGGACAGCGCCGATCCGTTCTATTGGATCCGCGTGATACTCGCGTCGAACAGAGGAACCCTCATGGAGCTGGGTATCTCGCCGATCGTCACCTCGGGTCTTATCATGCAACTGCTTCACGGCGCAAAGATTATTGAGGTCGGCGATACGCCGAAGGACAGAGCGTTGTTCAACGGCGCGCAAAAACGTAAGTAACATGAATTCCAACGTACCGCCGTTGGAATGGAGCAGCGGTAACATTGGTGTCGTCCTTGCGCAGTTTTCGGCATGGTTATTACCGTTGGACAAGCGATCGTTTATGTGATGACCGGAATGTACGGAGACCCGACCGAAATTGGAGCTGGCGTCTGTCTCCTGATTATCATCCAGTTGTTCGTCGCCGGACTCATCGTGTTGCTGCTGGACGAGCTTCTCCAGAAAGGATACGGACTGGGCAGCGGCATCTCCCTCTTCATTGCGACTAATATTTGCGAGACCATTGTTTGGAAGGCGTTCTCGCCAGCCACAGTCAACACTGGTACTTTCTTGTTGTTGAGAAAAAAGAAATTGCATAACAGAAGCATTGCTCTTGATCATCTAAAATTATGTCTTTGTACACTCGATAGGCCGCGGTACAGAATTCGAAGGAGCTGTGATCGCGCTGTTCCACTTGCTGGCCACCAGACAGGACAAAGTTCGCGGCCTGCGCGAAGCGTTCTACAGACAAAATCTTCCAAATCTGATGAATCTTCTCGCCACCATTCTAGTGTTCGCCATCGTTATCTACTTCCAGGTAAATTGCCGATAGGTTACGCGGCATTTGTACAAGCTTGTATTAAGTTTTTCTAGTGCCGATCTTTGAGTAAAGAAAGTATCAGGTGACGAGAAATAATTTTATCTTTAGGGCTTCCGTGTGGATCTTCCGATCAAGTCCGCCAGATACCGCGGCCAATACAGCAGCTATCCGATCAAGCTGTTTTACACCAGCAACATTCCGATCATTCTGCAGTCGGCTCTGGTGTCCAATTTGTACGTCATCTCTCAAATGTTAGCCGTCAAGTTCCAAGGAAATCTTATAGTGAATCTGCTGGGCGTTTGGTCGGACGTCGGCGGCGGAGGTCCCGCCAGATCGTATCCGGTCGGTGGGTTATGTTATTACTTATCACCACCAGAATCGGTAGGCCATATCCTTCAAGATCCTGTCCACGCCATGCTCTACATTCTCTTCATGCTTGGCTCGTGCGCTTTCTTCTCCAAGACGTGGATCGAGGTCTCCGGAAGCTCGGCAAAGGATGTTAGTATGACTTTCACTAAAAGGTGGTGTGCATCTTCTCGGCGCGATGTAAAAATTTACGACATGCATCATTGAACTTTCAGGTTGCCAAACAACTGCGAGAACAGCAGATGGTGATGCGAGGCCACAGAGATAATTCCATGATTCGCGAACTAAATCGATACATCCCGACCGCCGCGGCATTCGGCGGACTGTGTATCGGGGCTCTCTCCGTACTGGCGGACTTCTTGGGCGCGATCGGTTCCGGTACCGGTATCTTGCTTGCTGTTACGATCATATACCAATACTTCGAGATCTTTGTGAAGGAGCAAAGTGAAATGGGTGGCATGAGCACGTTACTCTTCTAAACTTAATTCATCTATAGACTTAAAAAGTGAACTTTTTTAATTCTGAAGAACTGAGTAATAATTTATTGTAAAGTAAGAGAGTCGAATTGGCAGCTGTGTGTTTATGTCGAAGCTCATGGGATGATAGACATACACCGGCGCCAGACGAAAGTTCCCCGTTGTTATACATGAAGTCGTACATATTTAACTTATCATTGGTATATTGTTGATTCTCTGCTCAAAAGATTATACTGTCGAGAGGACATTTCTTTAAAAAAAAAAAGGTATGTGCTTCTTTTACGCAAAATAATATATTAACGCGTGACCATTGACACACAATATACTTTCAAATCATTCTGAAAATATTACTATTTTACATTTACATTTGTGAGATCTTTGTTCGTGCATTATTGAGAACAGAAGGGCGTATCCTTTATTTTTACATTAAACGTTATTGAATCTACGCTGTGTCAAATGGTACACGAAGCACTAACTGATAGGGGCAAGATACATTGACGGAGCGTAGAGAGAGTATAAGAACACGAACATAACATTTAATGCTCGCGAGTGCAAGCACGGAGGATGTAGCCACCGTGCGTACACCGCCGTGCTTGCATGCAAGATGTAATATCTTTCGTACAACGAGCAGCGTGTACATAGTAAGAAAGTGATTAAATATTTTCAACATTTTTTACTAGCGTTTCAGGCTCTGTGATTTGACGCGGACAGAGCCGTGTGGAAGACTCAATGGCGTAAAATCGCGACATTTATATATGTATGAATTGAACCGATTTTGCATACGATTATATGAGATAATCATTTCAGTTAGGACGAGACACCCACCTAGGGTATTCGTACAGCAATTTCGAACAGCGTTTGTTCATCTTAGGTAACATCCATTCCTATATATTGATAATAAATGCGAAATAAATTAATTTGTTTCTTACATATGTATTTAGGAGAGAGAATGTGCTTTTATAAATATTAAAACATATGTATATTTTTCTTTTCGTCTTCCTTGTTTCATTCCTCGACGGCTTCATTACGTTTTATTGCGCGCATATAATCTGCGCTGCGCGTAATCGCATCACGACTGAGCGATAATTTCCGAGAGTTGTAGAACAAATTTCTATCCATATTCTTAATTGAGAATTATGACGTTCGATTATATCACAGAAAGGAGGATCCATGTATTATGTAATATGTTACATACTTAAAGCAGAATGTATACAAGAAACCAGTAAAGATTACTTCCTATTTTATACAGTGTATGTGATTGTCATTTTCTACTTTATATTCAGGGTTGTTATAAGATATACATATATATAGATATATATATGAATTATAACTATTGTTATATAGGATATCGATGTAACAAGGAGAAAACACTAAATGTCCAAATGTACTTACTGTTAATGGTGTTTAATACATGAAACCTGTGGGAATATTTAATCTTAGTATTTATAATCTTGAAACACGCATGTTGCAATAAATCGACTTTCTCATATATGACGTCAAGTATTTCGATAACATTGTATTAACCAATATTATCAAAATACATAGCTTTTATATGAGAAATTATATGTATTCTTACAGAGTAAAAGAAGGTACAGGACGGATGTTACATTTTCGTATTATTTATTAATTGTCTCACGCGTCAATTAGTGATATTTACAAAATGCATACGATTAAACAATAATTTAAGTATTATCCAAAAATTATATCTCATTTATTTTCGTTATAAAATAGCGTTGAATATAAAGATCCTAAAGTGTGAATGTTTGCCAGTAACACTAGACGGAGAGTATCTGTAAAACGTGCATTGGGCGACGACATGTCAATATCCCTCCAGGCTATGTTGGTGCCTTCGTTCCGCGTAAATAGCGCCGGAGACGGTACATTTTCGCGCATGTACGCCCACAGGCATTCCCTCATTATTGTGTTTATCTGCAATCAAATTTACGAAATCCGAATGTATGAGATCAACCGAAGTAGCGTTGGAAACTCGAGAATGTACCTGGTGAGGCTGTAAAACGGGTAGGATGTCCCTGATACTCGCCAGCGGCGGTGGTAATAATTGACCGAGTGCCATTATATTGACAAGCGAAACGCCCTCCTCCGTATTCCAATTAGCCATGACAGTTGCGGTGATGCCTCTCAGTAAAACGGAACAATACGCTAACGCCGGCCTGTACCAGGCGGTCAATTCTAACAACGTCCACAACAGGGGAACGTCCTTAAACTTGCGACGGATTTGTAAATCTCTTTCTATCGTGACCTGTCGTAAAACCATCGTTGTATTGAATAACAATGAAGTATGAATGATGAATAGCTCAGGGATACAGCAATGAAATAACAACAAGTAACTTGACAAGTGTTCAGCGTAAATAATACCTTTGTAAATTCCTCATCAGGCCATGGCAGACCATTGTACATAACATCAGGTGATACCAATTCAACCAACAACAAACTGACCATCGTCAGAGCGTCCAAGTTGACCGGATATCGGTCCGTTTCCTGGTTGCTGCAACAAGCCTGAAAGTAGTTGAAATTGTTAGAGTATTTCGTGCAATGTTCTGGGACCTATTAAATAATAAATTTTATAGGATTCTCTACCTTTATGACGTCTACTAGTAACATTTTGTTTAAAACAACGACTTCCTTATCGATCGCATTTTCCGGAGGAAGCCTTCGTGGACCATGTCCTATTACACCAGCATGAAATACCGATGAATGTCGTTGCGCCAACATCGTGCTCGTCACCTGAGGTGAGATCATTTAAATTCTACTTATCGAGGTCTAATGGATAAATATTTTCAGTATTCTAAAATATATATATATATTATACTTTAGCACTTTCGCACAAGTTTTACCTGTTTATGATTCTGATGTAGCAACAACATCTCTTCGAAACGGGGCTCGAATTTCTCCTTTGCGCCGAAATATTTCGCCTGCTCATTATTAATACTATTTCCTAGTATCTCTCGGAGCGCCAGTACACGCGCGGATGTGGAATAACATGCTAAATCCCTCAATAAATGGCACACCATCTTTACCCCTTGTTGCTTTTTCGTAACGTCTAAGAAATTGCATTGTCGTATATATATCTTGTTGCTCGAAGAAAAACCAAGAACGTTAAAATTCTAATTACCAGTTTGAGTAATGCATGAAAAGAAATGCCGTATGATCGCCCTCGTCAATTTCAGCATAAGTTCCACATCGAGAACCTGATCTTTTCCGGGTGTACTCAACAGATCCAAGAGAGTAACGATATCATTCGCCAAGTCGAAATCATCATTTTTCATCAATAAGGAGGATATTTGATACAAATTAGCTCGGAGAGCTCTGCTAATCATCTGCGACTGCAATATCGCCGCTTTATTTGATTTCTCCCATCTAAACGATAGAAAAAGATTCTATTAATTATTAAACTATAAAGTGCTTAATTACTTTAAACTTGTACATGTTTCACAATACTTGCTTCAACATTGTAATGAGATTCTTGAACAGTTGTCTCGATTCTTCCTTATGTATGATATTTTTATAGTGCATCTCCCTAAGCGCCTGCTCCAAGACCTGTGCAAAGTAATCGTGACTAGCGAGGATATTTTCGGATCCGGATTTATTCATGGGAAACTGTACGACGTTGTTGGTGATAAGGCGTATTAAGGCAGCGAGGTGGAACGTCGTTTGCGCCTTCATCAGCATGTAGGACGCCGTGAAGACGACTATGTTCGGATTTTGACTTCTGAGAAAACACAACAGCCTGACGGCCGTTTGTACACGCAGCGGATTGGGATTCAGCAGCATTGGTATTATCAACGACATCTCCTGTTTGATCGAACTCAGCAGGAGGATATTAGCTGACTGCGGCCCGTGCGTTCTCAGCAAGAGATCGATCTCCTGTAAAACCAATTCCAGTATCTCCCGACAAATGTTCTTCACATTTTGCGCCGCGTTGACGCTGTGATAGCCGACGTTGCTCGTGTTCAGACTCGTGTCCAGCAGTATGTTGATTATCTGCGACGCGCCTTGCTCGCATCCCAACGTCAAGTGCACCGTCAGGTCCATTAACGCCGCCGGTTGATTGTCAAAGTATTTACACCAATCCGCCGCAAACATCGCCAGTCGTGGTATAACGTCCGGTCTCACTGCAACAAATATTTTATACAATTGTAATGATATAATTCACTTCAACATAATTTTTATCAGAAGCATACATATTTGTAACACGTCGCTGGTTATTGCTTTCAGAAGAGTCTGCGAAAGCGAGGCCAGGTTCAGAAGAAACGGTACTGTGGCCAGTTTCTGCTTCTTGGTACCGTCATCGAGACTCACGTCTTCTTCCAGACTCCACTAAAAGATTATTGCGAATACATTATATAATGCATAAATTTAAATCAAGAGTGTCAGTACACGCAACAGGGCAGTAAACGACGAGCTTGCCTCGAATAGGTCTAGCAGCGCTTTTCTGATATCTTGAAAATGACTGCCCGCCAAATGCCCCAGTATGCCGACCACCGAGTTCAACTTTGGATTCTTGACATTATGCTCGTAGCCCACAGCACAGAAGTCTTTCAATCCGCACGACAGCACCCTGGTGATGACAGTGTTCGGAAAGCAACTCCCTACGTGAGCAACCACCCAATCGAAGTACGGACTGTGCAGCACGCTGGTGTCTAGTAAAGCCTTGATACAAGATTCCGTGTCGGCGTGCATAAGACACTGCAGGCATTGAGCAGTAATGTCTATCAGAGTCCTCGTCGCACGGCACGACATCCACTGCTGCAGGAAATCATTGATGCCCGCGTTGACCGGCAAATTGCCTCGCTTCGAATAGTCGGACGACAGTTTGCCTGCGGGAGAAGCGTACTTTGTAAGTCGCAGAATTTCTATATTTTCAGCACAACTGTAAAGGCTGGTCTACAATATATGGAGTAAGCTTGGAGTAAGGAGTAAGAGAGAACCATAAACTTTAGCTTTTGGTGTAAATATTTATAACACCGATGGCATTCTGATTCACTAAGAGTAAGCGTAAGAGCTGAAGTGAAAGTAGGAAATAAAATATTTCTTACTCCAGGCTCACTCCACATTGTAGACTAGGGGGTCGATTCTGTATCTTACACATGGCGAAAATGCTAAAAGTGAATAGCTTTGTCTCCAACTTTCGGCGAGGGGTAAACTGCTGAGGGCATTGTAGTGTACAGATTTGTGGCATTACTGGGCATTACTAGGCATTACTTCGGGCATTAGGCCTTGCTGCAGCATTATAAAATAAGATAACAAGATAATACCCACTGGACATTAGCAGGCATTGGTGTACATGATTTTAGTCAGTGGTTTGCCACTAGCTTTTAGCATTTTCACTGTGTTGCAAGATACAGAATTGACCCCAGACCTAAATGAAATATGTATATACCGAGCAGGTCCAACGACCATGCGGATATGATGGGCGCCCAGGCTTCTGGGTTGCCGTTGACGAAGCTGCTCAGGATGGCGTGGATCTCCGCGATGATGTTCTCCTCGGGTATCGGTATACTCTGATTCGTCTACAAGATCGCAATTCATTGTTATTACGTCAATTATACTCATCGCGCGTCGCGCAAATGAATGAAGAGCTCGAGCGGCGCGCCCGCCTACCTCGATCTGGCGAACGTACTTCGTCACCGCGACGAAGAATACGTTGCAAAAGTACTCGAGCACAGCGTCCCTCGCCGCGGGTACGTTTCTCAGCAAGGACAACGCCGTGCGCGTCACGTCCTGCGTGTTCGTGCTGTGAGAGGGCCGGACGGCGCCGGAGATGAATTTTCTAACCTCGTTGAGAATATCCTGCGGCGACAAGGCCGCCGTGCTGTGCAGCATCCTCGCGGGGCGTTATTATCGATAATAATGTTCTAACTGCAAGGCACCGTTCGATCACGCCCGCATCTCCACTTGGATCAGCGTAAATTCATCGCACGGCCGCGCCGCGAGTGGCGTGGCTCTTTTCGATTTGGAGGTTATGTTGCAGCGTAAAAACACAGAACCCACAGAACGTACCAAGAGGTTAGGCTACACGCAGCTACACGTACTACACCTATACAGGATGTTTCATTTTAAATAATACACGTAAATATCTCCAAAATATGAAAGATACGGAAAAACGTTTGAAACAAAAGTTGTTTGGTTCGAAGGGGGACGTAAGGTGGTGCCATTTAAGCTTATGATATCTCGATAACTGTTTATCGGAGGGAAAAGTAGTACAGGACTTTTTTTACTTGGGGTTTGTTTTCTGTTCCTGCACTGGTGAACTAGTGCAGTAAGCTAGAATGAGAAAAAATATGCTTGTCTTACTCCAATTTATTGCACTAGTTCACTAGTGTAGGAACAGAAAACAAGCCTTTGATTTAGTCTCAGGGATATGTTGTCGCAACAGTGCTCCAATTATTGAAAAATTTTGTGTATTGTAACACATAAAATTTACATACAAAGTATCAGGAGAACATGATCAGCAAAGAGGTGGCACTATCTAAATTTCCAAGAATTGGATTCCCGAGAACTTTCAACTTCAAATCGCGAGAATCGAGAAAATTGGCAAAGTATCAGGAGAACATGATCAGCAAAGAGGTGGCACTATCTAATATTCCAAGAATAGGAATTTCGGCGAAAATCTTGAATCTCGAAAACTGGGAAAGTATCAGGAGAACATGATCAGCAAAGAGGTGGCACTATATAAATTTCCAAGAATTGGAATTCCGAGAATTTCGAACTTTTAATCGCGAAAATCTGAAATATGGAAAAGTGACAAAGTATCAGGAGAACATTTCTGCCTGCCTGTGTACATACGTACGTACAGATGCGTTTCGCAATATTCACACCTTTTTCGGAAAGAACTTGGGACACCTTTTCTTTTGCAGAATTACTTTTATTCCAAAGATCCTCCTCGCTAATTTCATCATGTAAAAGCTAACAGTTCTTCCTTTATAAAATATCACATACAAATAACGCTTTTATAAGTATAAATTCAATATAAATAACGCTTTTATAAATCAGAGATCGAAACGGAGACAATAAGTTGCGCGTTTAAGACGTAGCAAAAGTAAAGTATGATCTGGAGATTGACGCGACGCTATAAAATGTCCGTGTAGTATACAACTTAGACGAGTTGAGGGATTATCTTCAAGGTCCAGCCTTCAGGTGGTCGCGAAGCACGAGGGTACTCGTCGAAGTATCGCAGGGAAACGTCTCAACGCCTCTTCTTCTTCTCCTGCTTTCGCGGCCGGTGCGGTCTTCTCGGCGTCACCTGCGGGCTGTTCTCGGAGCATTCCACGTCGCTCGGGTCGTCCTGCAATTGCAAGGGTCATTGCTAAACGGAAGCCGCGTCCTCAGCCGCGATCCGCGACGGCTGGAACGTACCTTCAAAGCTGCCACGCCGTCGGACGGACCGGCCTGATACACGACTATAGCCAGCAAGCACATGATCTGGAACACCGCGCCTACGTAGAGGCCGAATCTCAACAGCTGCTCGAACAGAGTCTCCTCCGCTGGCAGCAAGAGTCGCTTGAACTGTGGATCCGCGTCGGCCATCTCTACGTGCGAGAAGCACACAGGTGTCAAATAATTTTTCGCTCGTATTCTGAATCCTCTTTTATCGATAAAAGCGCCCATAAAGAACTCTTTCAGCAAATAAGAATCCTTCAAAACCAATTTTAGGGACACTTATAGCGACAAAAGAAGATTTAGAACATGGACCTTTATCCGCGATGTATATCAATCATCACGTCGGGTTCGTTACGATGAAAAGGAGCAATGTACACTAGGAATCACTGATGCCTTCCTACACAGACAGATACTAACACATTTATACATTTTGCATATACATGGAAAGTGTAGAGGAAAGTCCCCTAATCTGTTGGTTCCACCATGAATTTATTGCCCTTGGAGTGGTCTGTTTAGCGGAAAATTGTTAGATCGTTGCGAAAAAAGATTTGTGATCGAATTTGGACATTGAAAACCTACTATCTCGTGTTAGAATTCTGTCTCATAATAGAGAGGACTTTCCTCTACGTATGTTCTATCTGTGCCTAAATTCATATGGGAAGGCATCAGTGATTCCTAGTGTACGACATACGTACTTTCCAGATAGCACAGATGATCATTATGGACTCGACAAGTATTCAATGTTTAAATCCTTTAAGAATTACTGTGATCTGTTCAAAATAAACTCCAAAAGAATTCCTTTCCGTGAATTCTTTTAGTATAAAGAGAATTCGTTTTGTGTCTGGAGAAAGAGCTCAGAATTGGTGGCACAAAAGCGAATTCTTCTCTCATGAACACTTTCGGCACAGAAATGGGAACCGGCAAAGGAATTCATTTCATAATTCGGGAATCCAAAATAAATTCTTTTTAACTCTCTGTGCTATCCGGGTTCGGAGACAACATGCATCCGAGCGAACGAACGTACAGTCGTGTATCTTTGCTCGACGAGCTTTGAACAGGCATTTCGGATGTCGATACAAATCTTTTACAAGTATAAATTCAATATAAATAACGCTTTTATAAATCAGGGATCGAAGCGGTGACAATTTCGCGTTTAAAACGTAGCAAGAGTAAACTATAATTTGGAGATCGACAGGATTAAATTGTCCATGTTGAATCGATTAGAACAGAGAGGGTGACATGTGACAAAATCGTACACATATTTGAGAGAAACTTAGTAGCTTTACAAGCGATATTTGAAAAAGCGAAAAACTGTTTTCATCAGCAACGTGAATCTCAAGCTTTATGCTACTTCGAAGGCCCTTTAAAGTCTTCCTTAAAACAACTTTTTTTTCAAACAGATGCGTCCTATCCGTGTAGAGCGAAGATCCGCTAACTCAATTTCGGCCAAAATGTTACGCGTTTCCCTCCTGCTCTCGCCGGTCCAATTTAAATCACGTTGATTCGCATTCGGCGGAAATTGAATTGTCTCAATTGCACCAAGTACGTCACATCCGCACATCCGAACCGCGGACGCATATTAGTCGGGACAGCTCGCTCATTCGCAAGTCTAGTCCGAGGCTGCTCCGACGAAATTTTTCCCCTCTTTCTCCCCCAATGGCATCCCGTTCTCTCGCACAGAGCTGTGCGCGCGACAATCCCGCGTTCCTCCCCTTCGGAGAACATGTCCGGGAAAAAATTTTTCTCTCACGTGAAAACGGGGCTTCCCGTGCGACGGTACCTGCTCGATCACGGTTGGCACATGGTGGTCCCGCGATATTCACGCGAGGGACATATATCTAGGAAAACGTGGAGGAAATCAATAAACGACGGCGACCGGCGATGAATCGCCGCCTCGTAGCCTCGCGGCGCGTAGCGACAGATAGTACCAACATTAGAAACGCCCGCGAACACGGCACGCACGCCGCGTCCCGTCCCTTCCAAGCCGGTGGCCGTCACGGCGCGATCGCGACGGCTCGTGACGTTTCGCGGAACGAAAACACAACAGCGTCGGCGGCGGCGGCGGCGGACTCGGGTCGCGATCGCGGCCCTTCGGCTCGCGCGCCGAGTCCGGCCGAAGTCGCCCGCTCGGCTCGCCTCGGCCCGGCTCGGCTCGAGACGCGAGCCGCAGTTGAGCTCCCTGACGTTGGCAGCGCGCGGCGTTCGCGCTTGCCGCGCTCACCGACAGATGGCGGCCGCGCGCGAGCGGCGCGACATCTTCCCGCGGCCGCGGTTACTTCGGCCAGTGTCCCTCGAGCGTTTCGTCGCGCGGTCAATTTGCGCGCGGGACCGCGATTCATCGTCTCGTTCGTTCCCACGTCGCGCACGCTTTCGTCGCCCCGCGGTCCGGAATCGCGCCGTCGCCGACGCGGAAGCACGCGGGCGCCCGACGCCGGGGATCCGCTCGCGCGCTCGCCCGACCGGTTTGAATCGCGCGGCGCACCGAGAGCGCCGGAAGCGCGCCTGGGTTCGAGGCTCGCTCGCTCGCGAGTCCGTGGATGTCGACCTTTGTTTTGTACGAAAGTAATGGCTGCCATCTCTAGTTTTCGACTGATGTTTTCCGTGGCGAGAGCGAATTCCCGTGTTTACCGCGGTATTTAATAACGCAGGATCGCATCGCGCAGCGCGTCGGCGTCGGCCGCGATGTAAACGGTGCTCCGGCGCGCGTCGTTTCGGCTGCCTCAGTGTCATTTCCGCCGAAAAATGCCTGTGTTTACATCCGAGTTACGAGCGAGCTTCTGCATCCCTGTCACATTAAGGTAAGCGACGCTCCCTCGGGCCGCGGAACGGCCCGTCGGCACGGCCGCGCCGCGGAAACGCGGAGACGCGCCGCGAGAACGCGGCCCCGCGGCCGCCGACGACGACGATTCCCCGGGCTGTCCGACGGCGACGGCGATCCGTCGCCGCCGACCGCCGTTCGCTTCTACCGCGATCGCTCGCGTTTCGCCCGTCCTGGCGACCGTCCCGGGGTCGCGAGTCCCCTCGTCGCGACCGTCGCCCCGGCCTGCGGCTGGAAAAATGCGCGTGTGTCCGCGAGAACGGGCCGAGGAGCGAGCGACTCGGTCCGTCGTGACTTAACCAAAAAAAAGTTTCGTCCCCCTCCCGAGGCGGCGGACGGGCCGCTCGACGCGGATTCCTGGTTTCTCGCTCGCGTGCGAGGCCGAGCGGGAACGTGGAGCGCGCGTCGCGGGCCCACGGCCCCGCCGTGCCGAGTCCGCGACAGATATTCGACGGGGCATATAATTCCGTGCATACGCAATTTTTCGTCCCGGATGGTGGCAACAATGGCTGGTAAAATGGTGAGCGAGGGCAGGTCAAGCGCGCACACATCGCCGCGGCTGCCCGTTTCCTGCGATCGCAAAACAAGTTTTCTCGATCGCGTCGCGCGATCGCGTGTCTCTCGATACGGGCCGATCGATCTTTCGGGAAAAGCGGCGGGAGGGGGGGCCCTTTAAATTGCGTCAGCCGCGGAATTTGGATCGAAGCGTTGGTCGAGTGTCCAGTCGCCGTTTTGTTTATTTTTTTCCTTCTTTTTTAACATGTTTCGACGGTTTCTACGCTTCTCTGGTATCGTATCTTCTCGCGTCTTAAGGTACGTCGAGGTAACAGATGGTTTAATCCAGCTGTTCGGATTGCAGATCTCGCCCTGCTCGATAAGCGTTTTTCTAAAATCCGGAGAATCTCCGCTGGACGCTAACGGAGTTGGCCATTACTTTAACCGCAATTAAGAATTTCTTATACAAGCCAGTGTAGAAACGATACTTGACGTAAAAAGGTTTCGTTGCCGTGTTCTTTCGTTGCATCTAATCGCCGTACGAGAACCGCCGATGTTTTTTTTTCTCTGGGATTTGCGAACTAATCCATTACCGACGGACGAGCGCGACAGGTCGGGCTGATCCGACGATCATTATATTGCGTTAGCGGCGAGACGTTTCTCCGCATGAGAGCGAAGGATGCCATGCGAGAGCAACGCCGCGCGTTACTCCGCTCACCGCTTCGCCCCGACTTCGTTCGGATCCGCGTCTATCGGCCGCAATTGCGCCGGGATCGCAGGTCGGGATTTAAATCTAACCTAAACGATCGGAAGTCGGCGGCGAAACGACGGTCGGAAGACTGCTTCGCGGCGGGAAGGGAAAAATGTTTCCAGGCGGCGCTTCTCTCGCTCGCGGGCGGCCATATTGTCCGCTCCGGCCTTCCTGCGCCATCCCCCAAACCCTCGTCCAGCTACCCTTTTCTCTCCCTCCCCCTCCTCCTCCTCCTCCTCCTCCTCCCCCCCCCCGGCGAACCCCATTTCCGTGATCTTTTCACGAGCGCGCGGATCCCTTCCAGTCGCACTCCCGTTTCTCCTATTTTCTCTCTTTCCCTCTCGCTCTCGCGTCACCCGGATTTTCCTCTCTCCGCCGTTGCGTCAGGTTTCCTCGCCGCTTCGCCGTGAAGGCTGCAACGTCGTGAATGCGCGGCGAGCGCGTCCGCACAATGCGTATTTAACGGGGATCAGAACGACGGGGGTGGCGAACGGACGCGTTTTTATTTCGCGTCGTCGCGAGGAAGGTCCGAGAATTATCCGGGATCGATGGCTCGCGCGAGATTCTCGTCCTGCTTTCCTCCCCCCCCCCCCTCCCCCAACCATCTTGCGATTCCGTACGGCGCGAGATTTGTTTCGCGAAACGCTGGGCGCACGGCGGGCGGCGGGGCTCGTCTTCCGAAATCTCCTCCCGGGGGTTTTAACGTCCGCGCAGATCTGTAGCCTATTTTTAGACAGCGCTCACGGCTGACTTGAACGCGGTGCCGCGCGATAGCACGCCGGAAGTGAAATATTAACAAGCACGAGACGACGGCGCGTCGCACGCGTGCTGTCCGCTATTAGTGGTGCAATTAACGGGACGAGGGAGCGGGGGAGTCGCGTGGAACGTGGGGCGACCTGATAAGTTTCCTTTTCGCAGAGAAAGAGACGATTGAAGGGATCCACATCGGAAAGAGAAAAATAAACTCTGAACTAGCGCAGCCAGTTCGGCTAAAACGAACAGACACCTAGACTGTCGCGCGCGAAATTCACTCGTGGCCCTCGGGGGGGCAAAACGGCCGAAACTCGGGCGAACGTACGGAGCGGCCTAGACGAGTTCGAATTCAAGATCACGTCGAAGCCAATCTTGTCTCTTTCTCTGCAAAAACGGAACGTACCGAGTCAGGTCGCCCTACGTTGGAAAGAGGAAGATAAACTCTGAACTGGTACAGTCAGTTCAGCTGTAAAGAACAGACCTTAGGTATACTCGGCAGTCCCCCAGGGGGTTTGATTCACGCGGCGATTGATCTCCGTCGCCGTGAACGCGGAAATCGGTCGGTTAATCGGATCGGTCCGCGCCACCGCGACCGAGCGGCATGCGTTCGATTAAAGCGCCATTGCGTTGCCTAACTCCATTACGTGCCGTGCATCCATGCACGAATCAATTATTGATTGGTTTATCCGAAACCCGCGGGCGCCGCGCTCTCGCCCGCAGGTAACCGGACAGGTAACAGCACGCGCGCACACGCCCCCGCGACCCCTGTCCTCGCCCTGAATTGTTTTACAACGCGCGAACGATTCGATTTCCAGCGATTTGCAACGGGCCGGGAGATGAGAGCCGACGGCGAAACAGTGTTTTTTTTTCTAAACGCCCGTTGGAATCTAGTAAAATCGCGCAATGGCGTTTCGCACGTAATATCTGTTGCTGACGCGACAGCCGAATCTAACGTTTTCGAGTTTCGCGTCCAGACTTTCTTGAAATGCGCGCCGGTATTCGAAAGAGCGTCCTGTCCATAGTAGTATAACTATGTAGGTCCACTCTCTGCCGGCCTTTTCGATCTTCGCGGCCCCGATCACGTGGTATTCCGCCATGTCTTTGGTGCAAATCCAGCAGCGAGAGCCAATCAGGATTCAGCTTTGAGTCACCTGACCGAAAACTCTGCATCCTAATTGGCTATCGTAAGCAATCCAGTAGGAGAAATAGTATTGTGTGCCATTGACTTTACTCATTAATGCCTGGACCTCAGTTTTACCATAGTATAACTAGTAGATCCACTATCTGCCGGCCCCTTTGATCTTTGCGGCCCCGATCACGTGGTATTCCGCCATACACCCGGGCAGGATCCAGTGACGCGTGTGTGTATACGCACAGTATAACTAGTAGATCCACTCCGTCATTTGTTTCGTTTTTCGTCGATTCCTTCTCATCAAAGCCACACTACAACACACAACTTTTCTCTCATTGGTCTGCCCAGAGCAATGTCGGATGCGCAGAAGGGATCGACGCGAAACGAAACAAATGACGGAGCGGGCCTACTAGTTATACTACGGTTTCACTAGGATTCATTTACATTTTCATAATCTTTATTCCCATCTATACATCGATGAGTTTCAGGCTGTAGTTCACGCAGCTTCTGTAGAAGTCTGTGATCAGCCTGAAACTCAGTGATTTGTATAGATGAGAAAAGTGATGATAAAAATGCAGGTCCAGGCATTAATGAATGAAACTCTTCATACGTACGTTGTGTGTATACTCGTCGAACTACAATATCCTACGTACAACTTTAATCTCATTGGCTGTCCCAACAAAATGTCGGATGCGCAGAAGGGATCGACGCGAAACAAATGTCGGAGTGGACCCACTAGTCATGCTATGGTCTCTCTCGCGCAAATCCAGAGCCGTCTCTGCGTGGGCGAGCGAGCTGCGGGTTGCCTCGTCGTGAGGTAAAATCGTATCGACCGCGAAGAAAAGAAAGTCGCGCGGATTGACGAACGAGCGAGCGAGCGAGCGACGCGCGTGTAGTTGGAAAAGATTGATCGAGGATTACCTGTCACATAGATAATCACATTCCTCGACTCACGATAGAAGTATAATTACAGTCGGGCAATAATTGATAACGCTTCCGATTCGGAAATACGATTGTTAAGTGCATACGTGATCCTCTCGGAAGGCGCAACTCATTTTCCGTAGGTATCTTAATTTCGGCGCGCACGGCTTGTAGTGGCTGCGTTCAGCCAAACAAGCTACTTTGCAGCTGTTGTGAAACTCTTGAATCTGATTGGCGCATACTCTTAATTATAGCGGCATCTAAGAGCATACGCCAATGGCTGCGTTCAGCAGAAGAAGTTGCTCTGCAACTGTTGTAAATTTGATTGGCGTATGCTCTCAGATTCTGCCACAGGTAAGAGCACACGCCAATCAGATTCAAGAGTTTTACAGCAGTTGCAAAGCAGCTTCTGCTGAACGTAGCCGAATCAAATTGACGAATTTTACAATTGCAAAGCAGCTTTTTTCGCTGAACGCAGCCCAGTTTCATCGATTTTCAATGATCCCCGTCTCGCGAGGCCTCGACAGTTCGACTTCCGAGAGACTCGCATAACAATCCTGCCCCGGGGAGGCCAGAATCGTCCGTCACTGACGGCGGATTATACGTCAGCAGCGCCGGAAGAGGAGGCGGCCGCGAAGGGCATCGGGGGCTTTTCCCCTCTCGCGTGGGGGTTTAACCTTAACCCGCGCACACACGGGGGCCGTTTCGGGCGCGTAGCGGGTCGATCGATAGGCCGCGTTTCCGACGCGGCCCCGTCACCGTCTCGCTCTCTCGCGCCGGCCGACCGCGTGCGGATTCCAATTGCGGCGCGACGCGGCTCGCGGATTGACTTTTAAAAGCCGGCCCCGTGCATAATTCATAAGCCGTGTAAATCCCAATCAGCGCGCCTCTTTGCCCTCCTCCCTCCTTCCTCGCGCTAATCCGATCC